CAAAAATAAGTTATTTTTCTGTGGAGGCGAAGATAAGATTCCGCCTGGAGTTGGTTAATTTCCAAATCAATGAGCAGCATGATTGATTTGTTACTGAAGGTAAAGGGTCGCCTCACAGCTGATTGATCACGTGACCATCACCTGGCCACCAGACATCTGTAATTGATGGTAACTGATCGCGTTCATCTCGGCGGTGCTGCCCAGTCATGGCAGCCGCAGGCTGGGACTCACCGGCCAGTCCGCCGCCTCCATCCCCGTGGCCCTTCCGTCTCTGGAGGATGAAGTACGGATTCGCCCTCTCGGTGATCCACAGCGCTCCAGCCAGCAGCACATCTTCGGGAATGACCCACATATTTCGATTTATTTCTATTTTCTTTTATGACAGAACCATTTAACTCACTGTCCCGTCAAACTGGTCCTAGTAAGTAATGATCATTAAATAAAAATAAGAAAAAGAAAAAAAAAACAACTACGGAGGCCTTGTTATTCACCTGGGCTAATATCTATCATTTATAACCGATTAAGATTTAATGATTGAGGAGGAAAAAAACGCGCATTGAAGCGCTACTATAAATAAACCGAGCAGTTCGGGCTCGGCTCGGTTCGGCCTATAAACAAGAGCTGTTAACCAGCAGCTTCTGCTCCCGAGTTTGAAGGAAAAGTGTTTCTTTAAGGGGCCGCCTGGCTCGGTCCTGCGGGCCGCCTGGCTCGCTCCTTCGGGCAGCAGCGCTGGCTTCAGTCTTTGTTGTCCGCGGCAGGTGCGAATCAGTCCGCCGACAGCGCTTCTTTACCGGCGTTGTTATATGAACGAGCGGTCGATTTATCCACGGGAATAAGCGGAAATGTCTTCCAGCTGCCGTGTCCGTCCGTGTGCCGAGGAATAGCCGCGATTTTATCCCCGAGAAAGCGATAAATACCGCTGCGGCTCTGCGCTCCTCCTCCTGCTCTTCGGCCGAAGCGCCGCCGCTGCTGCTGCACATAAAGCGCCTCAGTATGGAAAGCCGTTTGAGCATTTATTCGATGACGATAGATAAAGATTTCCCCACGTTGGTGTCGGGAAATCCACTGACAATTGAGGGGCTGTAAACCAAACAAAAACCATCGTAAGAGAGGAACATGCGGTATCTTTGGGAAAGGCTGTCTCTAAGTGTGTTTTACACAGAAAATATTTCCCAAATGAAAAATCGTCACCTTCATAATATAATGGCCTATCATAATTTGCCAAAATTGATTTCTTTCTTTTTTCCTTTCAAATAAAATGAAGCTGTAAAACATGTATTTGAGTTGATGAACAGCTCTGGGTGTGTGACACTAATTCACAACCTTAAATATCCAGATTTCCTGGTGGTTTCGAGTCCACGTTGCTCTCCAAAAATCCAAAGCAATAAAGGGACGTCTTTCTTTAAGTCGAATAAATGCTCAAACCTCTTTCCATACCGCGCTCGCATGTCGTCAGCGCGCATGAGGCAGAGGAGCGTGAGCGGATTGCGTCCCCTTAAAACTGAAGCAGTTTAGTTTTGGTGTGTTCTTTTTAACTCGTATGTAAGAAGGAACAAAATGTTATTAGTTTGTTCTTTCAGTGATGCGAAAACAACCGCAGGTCACACTGATATCCGACTCATGATGTTTCTGATCGTCTCTGGCCATTTCTCTGTTCCAAGTCATACATTAATCAACTCCCTGCAGAAAGGCTTCCTCTGTCGCTGTGGTAACATGCATGGGAAAACGCGTTTTCCAAACTTACACGCTCATCTTGCCAGTCACAGAAAACTCCTTGTGTTGACTAAAAGCCGTGCGTGGAGATTTATGTTACGAAACGAACCTTTTGTGAGCAATTTGCGTCACTGTGTTTATTATTGTTAGAGGTGGATTTGTTGGTGAAAACACACTTTTTGTGAAAATGTCTTAAAAAATCATTTTGCTGATTCTTAACCCAAAAAACAGTTTGGGTTTGATTACGCATAACTTGTTCTAATTACGCAACACAAATATATTTGTTGTGAGCATTGGTTGGTGCCACACTGCAAAAACAAGTGTTTATTGTGTCATTCCTACTGCAAATATATCAATGCACTTGAAATAAGACAAATCTAACAAATAATTATATGACCAAAACATCCTTAATTCCTTAATTTTTATTTTTTTAACAAAGTGCTACTTCCTATTCCTAACTTTTGTCAAAAAAAGACATTTTAGCCATGTTTTAAGTGGAAAAAATCTGCCAGTGGAATTATCACTTTTTTAAATGATCAATAGTAAGGAATTATTGACTTAACCAAGATCCTATGTGTTGCTAAAAAGTTTTTTTAAGTTATTTTTGTGTTATTTGAAGTGTATTAAAATACTTGCATTAGAAATTAGACAGAAATTCAGTTTTTCAGAGTGTAGATGCATATGATTTGGTTTTGTGACCGAGGGAGACGGAATATACAAAAAAGCACTTCCACTTTAATATAAATTCCTCAAGTTTATGGTTGAAAAAATGAAGAAATGTGGAAAAACTCCTTTTACAAGGCAGCTAAATCTAAATTCTGGGTGACCTGGAGCTCAGAGTTCAGGGTTGAGCAGAACTCTGCAGAGATTTTCACCAGAGACCTTGCTTTGAGGTGACACTCTAACCACCAACCACTGTGTGCCCCAGAATCACATATGCCTCAAAATTTCAGTGAATAAAGTCAGAGTTTGGGAGTGCAGACCGTTGAGCGCCCAACATGCACACATCCTGAGAACAGCTTTGCTTTGCTTCCTGTTCTGTGTGGCCTCAAAAACAGGATACAGAACGATGGGGGAGCAGCTGCTCACTCGTCGGTTGACTCAGCTCCGGCTTCAGGTGGTTGTTTACGAACTTTCCCCTTCAATGAACCACTCCGAGTCTCCACGCCGCAGACTCTCAGGGCTGACAGGCTTACAGATGATGGTTCTGCTGAGGCAGAGGAAGAAATGAGTAATTCACCATACTGTACCTGTGCTTTGGTTTCCCCCCTCTGTGTGTTTACAGCAGAAGGGGCTGAACTGCAGGCTGGCGGGACTGACAATAATATCAGACCTTTTGAGACCAAAAACTTGGTCACATTTAAATGTTTCGAAATGAATTGCTTTGAGGGCAGAGAATAGAAGGAAATCTTTTATTAAGGTAACAAAAGCCCCTCAGAGGGACTGTCAGTGAATATCGGGGGATTTCCCTTTATTTTATTCACTGCAACATCAAAATAAACATTTTATACCCATAAAGAAAAGGTTGACAGCATTCACCGTTAGCCGTCTGATGAGAATGGATCGTCTAGGACTATTTGTTCCACTTCTTGGTTCCTAACTCACATCCCCATTCTTTGCAAACACTGGCTCACTTCTTCTTTTCAGAGACGAGAAGGAAATCCTTTCCTGATTGTTTTGCTTTTTGGTTCAGGAATCCACAGAGTTTAAAAGAACTGCTGATTCAAACCTGCATGTATTGTTTTTACCTTTTGGTGAAAAGAAAACTGAACATGAAGCTGCTGCATACATCTCCCTCCACACTTTTTGATTTTGATGCTATTCATGGTAGAAATGTGTTGAAATCCTTTAAGAAAATCGATTGTTTTTATTCTGGGAGTATTATCTGGTCACATTCTGGAAGATTCAACTTTTAATTTGAGCACATTTAGTCAGTAGGGGAATAAATATCACATTAAAGTTAAAAGCCTAGAAAGATCAACTTGGCTTCTGTCCAGCGCCCCCTACAGGAACATCTGAGGATGCAAAAACACAAAATCTTACCAAGTATTTTTGGTCCAGTTTTTAGTACAAATATTTTAGTACACTTGAAATAAAACAAAACTAACTCATAACTTTTCCATAAGATATAGGAGCTTGTTTTAAGTCAATAATGCCTTAATATTGATTAAAAACTACTAGCTCCACTGGCAGATAATTGCACTTAAAACAATCAATTTTCCCATGTTATGAGAGCAATTATATTTTTCCTGAGGTCCCCTATGATTAGCAGTATAAATATGATTGATTTTAGATGGCCTGATCCCCAAACCATGACACTTACACCTCCATACTTTATTTTCTTATTTTCATTTCTAAAGAAACCAAGAACATTTATTGAAACAGATCTAGAACTGATACAATATTTATACTGAAAGCTTTAATAGACTCATTTTGCTGTTGAAAGAAAGCAAAACTGTTAAAACCCCCCCCTCTCTTTTAAAGGAAACTTGCCCTGCTGGATTTTAGCGTCAATTCCCTGGAAATGACCTTTGATCTTCCAGTGAATGAAACAAAAGATTCCCTGATAGGTCATTGATTTTGAAAGTTCATCTCACCCTGACTTAAACTAATGAGCTAAGTAAACTCTGCTATATACTCTTTAGTGCCCTCTTTAGGATGAAAGAACTATTGAGCAAGGCTCAACTCAGAGCCACAACCAACAAAGACATGAGATTATTAACAAGTTTATTTGATTTATCTGCCTACATCAGGTATCAAACTCAGGGCTTTTCCCGCCATCAGGTTTTATTTGGCCCTCATATAAACAGAACCTTCAAAATTACAGTTGTGTGCTTAAATATTACTTTACCAATCAAATCAAAGACATTTTTATCAGAATTCTGCCAAATCACATCAATGTGAAAAGATTATGCAGTATTATTTGACTATTTATTAATATTTTAACAGTTTATGAGAAAATTAATTTAACAGCCCTGATCTTCTCTATGTGGTTCCTCTTCCAGTTTGTTTTCTTCACCTCCTTTCCTCTGTAAATAGCTTTTTTAACCAAGTTTTTTGCTACAATATCTGTCTGGAGCTACATTTTTATTTACCCTAGTTTCACTGAGGAGAACTCTATAACCAACATGTATAATATCTTCTGCCTTTGTCTATGTAGAAGGATAATTTCTGCCAAAATAGTGGTTAATCTATTTAGTGATGTTGGACTGCTATTTGAACAAAACTGTTGAAAATAATCTCCTCTGGAAAACTTGTTTAAAAGGAAAACCCGAGAAAAGTCGAAATAAAATAAAACAGATTGATTTATTTCAAAATGCATTCAAACACATGCACTGAGTGGAGCACAAGAAACCAACACCATGTCGTTACGCTGCAAAACTGAGTTACTTATGTTTGGTCTTATATCCGACACCACACAAAGCAGAGAAAGTCTCAGAACATTTTCATGTGCATCAAATCACTCACATTGAGTAACACATCCCTTGTAGCTACCACATGTGCTTTTATAGTTTAAGTTAAGTTTCCCCCACCATCAGAATGGTTAAAGTGCAACATGACTGAGTGTAAATACATCCGTACAGACAGTGGCGGCTCATCCTTTAATGCTGCCCAGGGCAGACCCCCTTTTTCTCCATCCCAACAAGAGTTTAAAGTTAAAATGTCCTTTGTTCCATTTGTAATTTAACAACAGAATAAACGTTTCATAAATTCCATTTATGAGCCAGAGATGATCAAATACAGCCACAATTCATTAAAAAGACAGTGGAAAATACACAAGAGGCTGAAAATCTTGTAGATGTATTTTCCTACAATGATTACCTCGTATTGAAGGGACACGGGTGGAAGCAAAATGAAACCTGTTTGGGACACAACTGGCAGAAAACAAAACAAAAACATTGTTAAGCGCTTAGGTGTCCCCAATTATGTGCTGCCCTGGGCAGTGTGCCATACAGACCACATCACATAAACAAACAAAACAAAAAAACTGTGTACAGAAAGTTTTAACAAAAAAAAAAAAAAAAAATCAAGAATGGCTCTCTATGATCTAAATAAAATAATGATTTAAGGCTGAAGTTTACAGATCTACAAATGAAGCAAAATTTTAAAATCATTTTCTAACAGTTCCTTGAAATTAAAACATAAATAGATTCTAGTATTTGGAGAGGTTTTTTGGAGGGTTTTTATCGATAACTATACATTCCTTTATGTTAACAGTTAATCACACAAATCTGGAGACAAACAGCTGAATTGTTGTCAGGCGGTTCCCAGGACGCCTGACACTCAAAACCCTGTAAACAGTAACAGACGCCATTTTCTGCTCAGCAAATCTAATTTTACGGCTCAGCAAATCTAATGAGCCTCTTAGAATCTTTTACTGCAATGAACCAATTGCTGCTGTTAGCACCCCCACATTTACATATTTGGAATAAATATGCATGAAAACATCTGATGGCTCTATGACACAATTTGTTTTGCAAACAGGAGACATTACAGACTTCACTTAATAAGTTTGTGCAGATATAACTAAGCAGTGTTTCACCAGTTACTCTGTTTTTATGTAATTTAAAGGGGCAGTACTATGAATTTTTGTGCCATTTTGTTGCACAATTAAGTAACTATGTTACATTTAGTTGTTAAAAAATACTATACATATTTAATATGACTTAAAGGAAATTTGACTTTATAATTTAGTGCCTTGAAATTGAGTCCCTGTAAAAACTATTCTCTGCCTTCAGGAAGTCATCACAACATGGCTCCTCTATTAACTCTTTAGCAACATATTTACCAGCGTTGCTCTGAGAAGTATCTTGTAAAATTGGCTTACCAAATGCTCAGGTGCTTGCTAATTGCTGCTGGCTAGTCTGAAGGAGCTGAATGAGGGAGGCTGCTCTGTGAGGGTGAAGCTCTGAAGTTTGGAAAAAGTCGTTTTTACATAAAACTGCCCCTTTCAGAACCAGTAGTAATATTTTATTGTCCCTAAGCTTACGAAATCCTTTTTTAACTTCTATTAAAATATGAAATAAAAAACCAACATGCTTTCATGGATCTTATTTTCCTTTGAAAACTCAAAACTATTATAGAACCTTTCTTATCATTTTTGGAAAATTCTCAAAATAAATTGTACGAAGGAGGAAAAAGTGCAAAAATGATTTGTTGAATTTTAAAGGGTGCTGACCCCTGACCTGAAACGTTTCTACAGAGTTTGACCTTTGTATCTTGAGCTTTTATTATTGCTACTCAGCATCAGTCACACTTTACCCTCGCTCAGTAGAAGAAAGGCTTAAGATACATTAATATCTACTTGCAGTAATTTTATTCCACTTTCAGAAGTATCCAACCCTGAATTTGTGATAATTTATTTAGTGAGAAAAAAAAAGATTCCCATTCATTATTGGTCATTTGTAACAAAATTGCCAATGTTACAAATTACTTTTACCCTGAACAATTCCTCTGAAATACATGCAACTGAATTCTGTTTTTGTTTATGCTTTTTTCCATGGGAAATAAATATGTAACACAGAGACCCATTTCTCTTAACCAATCTGAAATATTACAAAGTGATGAGAACAAGCTGTTCAAGTGACCTAAACCTTATCCAGCTGGAAATGGCTTGTCTAAGCTTGCCTACACTCACAGCCAAGAAAGATTAATTTAACTGGAACTGCACAAATCACAATGTTTCCTGAAATTATGCTACTTCAATGAAAGATTTTCTATCTTTATCAAGAATGAGAATAAATGTGAAGGGTGGTAGCAACAGGTTGAACAGTTTGTACCAATCAAACTGATACGTAAATTTCTTCCTCATACACGACACACCATCACTCTTCTGGGAATTTGTTCCATGTTTGCTGTTTGAGAAAATCTGATATATGAATTATTTTCACCCAAACTTAGCTCATGAACATGTTTCTTTAAAAAAAACACATCGGCATTGATTCATTCACAAAGATAGCTGGTACATTGTTCTCTTAAAGGTTAAGGAAAAGGATTTTTGTGAGAAACTTGGCATATTTGGCTGGTTTTGAAACAAAAAGATTTAGTTTAGCAGATGCTCAGTCATTGATGATCTTTTGATCCTGAAACTGTCTGCTACATGTACATGTGCTGGTGTACCAATAAAAGAACAATCTCCAGTGTCTTAGCCAGTAAGTTAGAAAAGCTTTCCAAGCAGAACATTTCGATTCCCAAATCATTAGCTGTTAAAACACCAAAAGCAAATCTCCTGTAGAAACAACAAGGGCTTTTTCAATGAGGCCAAAGGTTTCTGAAACAGGGAAACGTGTAAAAACATGAACCAATTGACCCAAACAGCTGTTACAACAGAGCCTGCGGGACTCTGCAGAAACAAAGAGAAAAGTCCGAGTTGCTAGAAATAAGAACTTCTGATCAAACTCCATTAAGAATAACTGGAAAACTGCTTGCTTGAAGAGCCAAAACATTAACTTAAACAAAATGTGTCTAACTAAAATCTAACTTGATTATAGTTTTTCATATTTTAAAGTAAATAATTATAAAATTGGAGCTGGCATAATTCTATTGTCACACAATATTGATCTGCTGAAACAAATAAAACCTACACAATACACGCCATCAGATATATTTTTGGTCTCGTTCAGTTTCTGAGAGGAATTTGTGTCTCTAGTGGATAAAAGCAGCAGTGTGCCTTTGTGTTGCTTGATCCTCAAAGGTAAAATGTAAAAAGTTTTCACTACTGCGAAACCTTTTCACAACCAGAATTTTCAGATTTAACGAGTAAAAGCAAATGAGGTGGATTAGCAGTACTTAACAACGGATGATGTCATCCAGGACTTTTCTGTGGAGAATCGTCTCAGCTGCCCAGATATTGAGTTATTAGCGTATCAAGACAGTCATAAGACTGTCATACAGCAACAGTCTTCAGTCAGAGGCCGTTTCGGATTTGTTGCAAGACTGACAGCTACCGGAGAACTTCCTGTCCACAGCATCACAATGAATCTTTGAAGATATTTTCATGATTATTGTAGGTCACTTTTTTGTTATTGAAGTGCTGGAAACAGGGACATTTTGAGCTCTACCTGCCCCATAAACCTGTGCTTCCATTCAAAAACGTAAACAATGCAGAAACTCAGCAACAATTACAACAGTGATGTTGAACTGTTATCTGTCACAACTCTGTGGGATTATTAATGTCTGGTTTTGGAATAATCAGCAGCAGTTTCAGAAGGGCAACCAGGACATCACTTCAAAAATCTAAAGGCCGATAGAGAGATCTAGTTGTGCTTGGTTATTTCCATAACAGGATTTACAGAAAGTTAAAAAATGAAAAACATTTATTTTTATAAAATCAGAAAAACGTGTGCTTGAATTTTCTGACTTCTTGTTTGGATCCTTTTAAAAAAACTTGTCAGGTTTTCAGGTGATGTATTAACAAATTTGGAGAGGGAATTAATAGCAGCTGTTTTGGACTGAAAACTGCTGGTATATGAGCTACAGAACTGTGCAAAAGCCTTCAGTCACAGCTGATTTCCAGTTCTTGCAATCTTTAAATGCGCTTCAGATCAGTTTTTCTCCAGAGTTTCTAAAGGTCTTACTAAATATTTCATTTGCTCAGAAATTAGGGGAAAACAGGCAAATAAAGGAATGATTTACAGACCTAAAAACACACCTACAGCACATGAACGAGAAGTGAACAGCATGTCATTAAGGAATAGAAAAAATTTAAGCAAAGAGACGACAGAAACGTCAGGAACTCGGGAGAACTGCTGATCCAAATCATATAGAGCTGGAAGGAAATCATGAGGGACGACTCAACACTTTTGCACAGCACCAAGTGTGCACTGTATGTTTTTGGCAGTGATCCTCGATGTCATGCTGACTAAAGCTGCACACATGCATTAGGGAGGCCATGTTGTGTCCAGTCTCCATCATCATCGTCACATTTTGTCTTTGAAGTTTGGGAAGCCGCTCTGAGGTTTTACAATGTGAGAGATATTCCTCACGGTCTGGTCTCCATGAAGCACAACAAGCAACATGACAAATCTGTCAATAGTCAGTGAAACAGAACCGAGTGTTTTAGGGTCTTCTTTATGACCAGACTTGAATAATCTCTCAATCTCTCACGTGTAGCTTTTGTGCATTTTTTCTGAAAAATGTCTCCTCAACATGTATTGTCCCTGGACTTTGCGTCATCGCGCTCCTGCTCCAAAGGAAAGTCTGCTTCTGACGCGCTAGCATCAACACTCAGGATAGCAGACGTGTCTGAATCGCTGCTCATTGGAGGCTGGTTCTCACCTGGAGGGTCAAACAAAGGTGAGTCAACATCACCCTAAAAGTCCAGCATGGTCATCTACAGCATGTTATCATCATTTTTAAGTCTTAGAGTATCTTTGTTCATAAATTAACACATTTTATGGTATAAGAAAGTTGTTTTGGTGAGTATTAATTAAGTTAAAAAAGCCTAATTTGACTAATACTTCTGTGCTAGCTGTAGCTTAGCTAAATGTATTGCTAGCTAATATAAAAATGAATTTAAGGTGTGCAAAATGTTGATGCAGTCTGTCTAGCACAGCGTGTTGCCTGATGCTATGTGAATGATAGAAAATACCAAGTCATCTCAAACATCCAAAGCTGATTACAACTATTTAGTATAAAATTCATGCCTCTGATGATAACATTCAAACTATATAATCAAAAAGCAAGTCTTCTGCACAGCTTGCAATTAACCTTTTAGCCACTTGGTGGCAGCAAATGTTATTCTTTTTTTTTTGCATCCCTGATGTTTTCAGGTATAGAGCCAATCACAATGAGTTCAGGTCCATATCTCAGGCTAAAACCTTTCCACACTGACATGTTGGAAATGATGGAGCATGTGTAACCTGTGGACGTACAGCTTGCAATAATGTGGCTCTGTCCTGCCTGCGACGTTGTTTCTTGGGAATTATGGAGTTGATGCAGATCCATCACCCTTCCTGCAGGATCCAGCACCACTGAACTCTCGTTGACTGTGATTTCACTCGCAGCGCTGATGGGATTGGTCAGAGGACCCCCAATGCTTGTCTCGTAATCTGGGGGAGTGTCATTGGTGCAGTCAGCACTGAACTGGAATAGATTAAACATGTGTTTAGCATCTTACCAGCCTTTAAATAGGAAGTAACATTAGTTTAATGATGCAAAACTGTAGCTTACAGGAATTCCCAGAGCTTTCAGGATGTTTATTTTGCACATCGGACACGTTCTGTGGTCTTGCAGCCACGGATCTACACAGTGTTTATGGAAGACATGTCTGACCAGATGAGATGAAACAGATTCATCATAAACATGGTGAACAGTGGGACATTTAAAGGCTGGTGGCTCTGGTTACAACCTCACCTGCAGGGTAATATCCTCACAACGTCATTAGGTTTGTAGCATTCAATGCAAACTGCACAGTTGTCAAAGTCTGGTTCAGTTTCCTTAAACACAAACAAGACAGAGCAGTAAGCACACTCCTGCTAAAATGCCATAATATGGTGAAGTGAAAAAAAAAGACCAGGAAAAACCATTTCAAAACTTGCTCCTACTTAAGTGGAGGTTTAACCTGTAAACACCTAAAACAGTTTGAAGGAAAAATTTCAACTTCACATCTTGAATTGCTGGTAATTTGTCAGCCTTACAAAGTTTCACACTCAATAAACATTATAATCAAAACAAAACCTGGACAAGCTGCTGTATGTTTTAATCATTAGCTTTTCGTTCTGTTGCATTTTAATTACAAAGTGTGCAGAATCTGCTTTACCTTGTCTCCCTTCTTTAAAGTGCGCACTTGAAGCTTACTGATGGCCTTTTTAGCAGCATCTCCCAAACGCCTCTACAGGCAGAAAAAACACACAAAGACAAACTGAAATGGTCAGAGGCATCTTTCTGTGGCAGATATGCTTGAAAAGTCACCAAAAACAAAATAAGCTTCAAAGAAAACTAGCATCTCACTGATTTGCTTAATTTAGAAGATTTGCAACAGACGTTAACAGATTTTATCTCCATCTTGGGTTTTGCCTGTTATGCAGCAGATAACAGGAAGGCTAAATGTATCGCAATTTTGTCTATATAAGCTTTTAAGCTCTGCTATTAAACATTCTGAAAATGTTTGCATCTTTTTATAAATTTTAGAGTGAACATAACTGTCATGACTGTTGAAGACATTTTCCAAAGATAAGCTTCAAAAATCAATTGGGAATCAAAAAAAAGAAAAAAGTCTGAACTGCATTTGAGCTACTTAAAAGATTTTCTCCAAATTAATCGCTGAAAGTAGCAGTTTGGTTTGGGTGCAACTGAAAGACACAAAATGCTCATTGAAAACTGTGAGATTCAGGCCATTTGCCCCTAAATTTTTCTAATAATTACATTTACATCATTATCATCTACATATATTTGGAATTGAACATCTTTATGTCATCTGTAAGGAAATGCATTCATTAGTAAGGAGAAGAGCAGCGGCCCTGAAGTGGATCCCTGTGGTTCACCCATTTCAGATTTGAATAGAAGAACTTAAAACATGGATGTCCAACATTTATTCTTACTTCTGTGTGAGAAATTTAACTTGCATAAATGAATCTCTTACAAAAATTGAGATAATATCAAAATCCTGTGAGAGGTTGCGGTCGGTCATACCTGGTTGCGGTCTCGAGCGTTAGCGTAGCGGAACCTCTGGATGTAGTAGAACACGAGCCAGGCGAGTGAGATGATCATGAGGACGATGAAGGAGATGGAGACAAACACCACAGAAGTTCTGCTCACATATTTCTGGAGGTTGCGGGTTCCCACACTGATGTGCATCACCACCACAAAGCGCTGCTCCAGTAAATTCACAATCTCCCGACCTTTAGGTTCAGGGATCATGATAGCCACAATGTCGCCTGTATCTGTGCAACACATGAAGCGCAACAAAGAGTTGAACAAGACTTCACAATATTAGGAAAAATGTTCATTTCTCCTGGAAGGAGTTCCAACTGAATGTAAATGAATATTATGTTATAAGGCCCAGTCAAAGCACTGTGAGAAATCTTGGGCTGATTGCTGGGAGCTTAGATGAAGAAGCTCAACCAAATCCTCTCTTAAAAGCTTCCTGCCAGCAACCATCTGTTGATTAATGCACAACTAGGATTTTCTATCACAGCACTACAAAGCTTCTGTCCATCTTTGCACCAAAATAAAAATGTACAAAAATTTAGAGTTATGAAATGCAGTTAGGATATACTGGTATAAAATGAAGTAAATGTTTTCAGTGGAACTGATTCACTGATGGTAGAAATCAGACACAGTGTATTATTTTAACATTCTTAAAAATCTGAAATTTACATACATTTCCTTAATTCTTGGTTGTCTCTAAAACATTGACCTCACTGACTGTGTTGCAGCTGCTTTAGTGGAATGCTTATTGTCCATTTGAGAGCAAAGCATTAACTTCCTGCAGGAGATCATGAGAAGTTTCAACATTATGTTCTTTCTACATGATGCCATGTTTTTGTGAACTTCAAAAAGCGAATGATGTTCTCAGGCTTGCAAACCTTCATTTTTTTCCTCCAAATGTTATGATGATCATTTTAGTCTCAGTAGACCATAGGACATTGTTCCAAAATGACATTTTCAATGTACCGATTTAATTTAATGTAACACCTTGAACTACAACTTCAATGACTTCTGGATGTGTCAAATGAAGATGATAAGAGAGAAACGTCCTGAGTGACTACCCAAGCTCTACTCCTTCTTCTATAACTCAGATAACGATTCCAAGAACTGTTTAGCAATCGGAGCACAGTTACATCACACTCCCTCTGTTGCCTGTCTGTGACAGAGAATCAGACAGTCTGGGAGGTTCCCTGCGGTTTTTCATCCATTTGTCACTCCTCATAAACGGCGCCTCGTAACCAAACAAAAGTTGGGTTCAAACCGATAATGATCCTGCAGGGAGAAAACACGCTTCCTGAAGCGTTCGAGGCGTAGAGTCCCACACATTAGCAACATTTGCAGCACTTTGGTGCCTTTTGTCTATCACTGATTATTCCCTTTATGTAACGAGTCTCATGTAAAATGTTCACAGTTGCTACTCGTGGTATTCTGGTAAAAATCCCACTAAGGTCTTTTTTTTTTATTAAACACTAAAGCAGACTTAGTTGAAAAGTTTTACTGTTTCTTTTCTGAGGTAGAACAAGTATATGAGATACAACGTTAGCACCAAGAGTTGATCCTGGCATGAACGGGAAACTTGTAGCAGTCAACATGGACAAGACAGGTGACTTTGTTTAGCCATATGGATATTACATATAGATTTACTGAATGGAAACATCTGTGGGATTTTGTGGTACTGTGCAGAACTGAATTAGGTTTTATGTTTCAGACTGTGACTACTTTGTGTCACTTGGTAACTATAAATATTGGCAAACAAAAATCTAATTTGAGGTTCCTCAAGGGTTTATCCCCGGGCCTCTTTCATTTAAAAATGTATATGGTCCCCTTAGCTCTGATTATACACGACTAAATCATCTTTCACCATATCTGTGTTTATGACACAGCTTTACTCTCATGTGAGTCAGTGCATCAGCTTATGGGTCAGAATTTCCTCCAGCCCAATGCAGATAAGACAAAAGTCATACCAGAAATGCTCAGTTAAAATATCAGCACTTACTGCCTGTTGTTTCGGACTTGCAATCATGTAAAGTCTGTTACTAAATCAGCCTGCTATTATCTTAAAAAATATTGCCAAAATAACAGCTTACATATGAAAACAGCATGAAGAAAAATGAGTGCATGCTTTAATTTAATGGAAATTAAGACTATAGTTGTGTTTTTACTGGGTTTCTATAAGATAAAACCAAAAAAATTAATTAGACAGACACAACTTAGCCAGAATGTTGCTGCCAGAGTCCTCACCCTGCCCTGCAAAATGGGCTTCATAAAAGCTCTTTCTGTTTATGTAAGAGGTTTTAAAGGTGTTTTATTGGTCTATGAAGCACTACGGTCTTGGGTCAAAATACCCAGAGTTGCTTGTCAACCATGTTGCCGCCTTCCATCATCAGAGATCCTGCTGGTCAGTGTTCCCAGGAGCAAAACTAAACAAGATTACATTTAGTTTTTTATGCTCCACACATCTGGAACAAAATCCCTGAAAACCTGAACCTTTCAGAAACTTTTGGTTGCTTTAAATCAGGACTGAAAAACAATTTGCGTTTGGTCAAAGAATCTGACAAACTGTTGCCGGATCACTGATGAGAGATCAAAGAATACATTCAAAGACAAAATTGCATTTTAAATCTCAGTTTTAACATTTGTTTCTTCTCATGCAGAGGGAGTGTGATGTAACTGAACCGATTAAACTTTAATGATGCTTAAAGCTTTTTGTTGCTTTTTTTATGTCTCCCCCATAATTTTCTGTAGAGAACTTTGAATTGCCCTAAGTTTACATTTTTGTGACCCAGAAGGATTTTCAATGATACGACAGCGTATTAGAGTCACCCTAAGAAAAAAAATAAGATTAAAATTACAACAATAAAGACAGAATATTATAAGAATGAAGTCATAGTATTATGAGAATAAAGTTCATATTTCTCATATTTTGACTTTATTTTTGAAACTTTTTACCTAATTCATTGGTAAAAAGTTTGGACACCGCTGCTGTAATCTAATCCACATCTTTTGTTTTTGTCTAAACAGACAAAATAACTAATTGTGGCTATCTGGACATTAAGACTCCCCGACAGTGTTTGAATAGTTATTGTTTACAAATTAATGTTTCACCTTTGTAATTTTAAACATCTCCACAGGCACATTTAAGGTTTTATTGGCCACGGCCATATGGAACTGGTGGGAATTAATGCATCTCTGCAGCTCAACAGAGTAATTTAAAGGACAAACTCTGTAAAATACAATAATCTATGCACCAACTTTGAGCTTTATGTCAACAGAAATAATTGTGGAGTTGCTTAGTGATGTGCCATTTATCTTATCGTCCTCCTCAAAGGAACTGACAGTAAATCATATGGAAACCATCTGAAAGAGACACAAAACTAATGAGAAAAAGCTTTCAGATTCTTTCGGCAGAAATATGAGCTCAAAGGGAAAATGTGTTAACTATAGCAGTCACCAATTCGTATTTAGTATTTTACGAATACTCAGCCACATTTAAAATAATGTTTCATACTGTATGGCATAAATTGCCAAACGATTGTTTGATTTAATGTTTTTACAGAGTCACATACAGACCCAGATGAACTTTGTTTAATTATGAAAATATCACGGTTCCATATGAACACTTGCCTATTTGTGTTTCAGTATTTGCAGATTTGCTCACGGAGCATATCTAAAATTTTCAAAGAAAATGCAGACTAAGAAGCTGAAATAGTTGGGCACAATCCTTCTTGACATTATAATATTTGCAAAGCAGCCAATCTGGGAGCGGCATTTATTTTCTTTGGTGCCGTTTGGCTGAAGAAAAGGAAATGAGAAAGACTGTACATGTTATCTTCTGTGGTAGCGCAAAGATTGTTTTCACTGTGCATATTACATTGTTATTGAACTATTGAAGCTTTTTCCTCCCAACATGTTAGAACTCTACTGATCCTATGCTCAAACACTCTTAAAGCACCAAGTTTCAGTTGAATTGTAACGATGGGCACACCTTTATGAAAAGCAGCAACAGGCTGGTAATGCACTTCTGTTCAACAGGAAGAGAAAGCTCTGTCAACAAATCAAACTGCGACAGCAACACCAAAACAACCGAGAGTAACTCCGGATTTTGGAGTTGCACTTGTTGACGCCGCGGATGGCATTTCCAGTCAGATTTAAAGAGACAGTATTATGTAAAATCAACCTTTTAGATCTTAACTTCATGTTATAATGTTAATCAAAAACACATCTGGAGTCTTGCTTTGATTCTGTCATGTTTGAGAAGTCTTTTCATCTCCCATGGCAACTGTTTGCCATACAAAATGTTTGGTGTTAGTTTCCAGATCAAGCGTCCACCTCACATTTTTCCCCACTGAGCCCCTTCAGACTAGCGGCAGCAGCAAGTAGCAAACACCTGGTGGAACTGAGCACCTGCTGAGCTCATTATATGAGCTACTTCTCAGTGCAACACCCAAAGGAATGTAGTAAACAGCTTAATGTAGAAAGGTTGTCATGCCATGCTGAAGGTGAAATGTCAGAAAGAGCAGAAGCTTCTTAAAGAGACAGAGGTGCAATTTCAAGTTGTTAAATTACCAAGTCAACTTTCTTTTAAGTTACATTTGATGTAACATAGCAACATAATACTGTCTATTTAAGAGGTGATTATTTTCTCACTATGAACCAGGCTGGATTTTAGAACTCTGTTTTTAATAACATGATTATTTTTTCTCTGTAATTGAGTTTACTCTGGTTCTCTTTTTCTTGGAATGGAAATGAGATCTACCATCTGAGACCTGACTCCTGCAGCTCCAGTCAGCGTCTGAACTAAGAGGAAACTTGTCCTTCGGGATCCGGGTCATTGATTCGGTTCTTCAGCCAGAGGAATTAGATGCCACTGATTGAGGAGACCTCAGAGGCCCCAGCTCCAGGATCTATTAATCACCCTCTAAGTTTCACGCAGTGATTAGTGAGCGGCCCTCTGAGGCCTCACTCCACCAGCCGGACACCTGTAGGAAGACCCGTCTTCTCTGGCATCACCGCATCAACCGCAAACTGTTTAAATCTCGGCGTTTCCGGTCCGATGTCCTCTTACCTGAGTGGGGCATCGTGATGGTGTCGTTGGCACTGTTGTATATAACAACCGCAGACGCGTTGCTGTTTGCGGCGTTGCGGATTTTCTCCCTGAATGTGCAGTTTCCCTCAGCCACCAGCGCCACCCAGGCCGTGTCCTGGGGAACCGGCGGAAAGCGGACGTTCGGGTCGCAGCCCTGCCTGTCCTGCGGGAGGCCGGGGATCAGAACCCGACCTCTGGCTTCTCTCTTGGGCGAGTGCTCGCCGTACCGGCCGCACTCGGTCTTCTCCGTCCGGACCTCCGAGGAAACGGGGTCCAGGTAGGTGATGTTGACGAAGGCCGTGTACCACTCCTCCTTCTCTGCGGCCGTGAAGTCCAGGCAGAGCAGCTGGACGAAGCAGAAGAACAGCAGCCAGGTCCACAGAGCCAGACTGCGGCAGGCTCGGAGGAGGGACGGAGCCATGGCTCGGCTGATGGACGGAAAGACGGACGGACGGCGAGCTCAGCGCTAAACTCGCATCACATCTGCTTCAGAGGGATGAGACTTTAAAACGACATGAAGACCTGCATGACGTCCAGCGCCAACAGGCTGACAGAGCGGCGGTTTGTGCGTGGAAGCATCTCAGAGGGGCGTGCGTTGTGTTGTTGTTCAGCGTCAGTTGGTGGGCGGGGCTCTCAGGAGGGACGCTGCTGACTGAGCCAACCCAGTGTGCAGGATCTTTTAAATGAACCGGGCAGAACTGTTTTCCCCCGATAATGTCTGAGGGATTGAATGGTTTAATTGTTAAAATAAGAATGTTAAAAGGAATTAGCCTATCACCTAAAATTGATTATGCAAAATTTACATTTTATTAAAACTAAAACAATTTTCCCATTTAAATGAGAAAGGTGTAGAACAACACCTTGCAGTATATTTGAGCGTTGTCTTGAAGAAAATCAGAGAGAAGATGGAGCCCTTTTATGGACTTTAGGATGTCACAATCTGTCAGATGAGCACATTAAATTGTTATTGTATTCAAGTTGTGCTAAAAAGAATTAGCCTATAACCAAAACTATTATAGCCTAAAACAGCATCTCAATGCTAAACATGTTGCAGTAGCTCAGACGTCCCCCAAGCTAATGTCAACACAGTCCTCATTTCTAAGGATTTTTTTGCCCCTGAAACACTTGAAATCTGTTTTTGAATAACCAAACAAGTTTTTAAAAAGCAAGAAATATTTTTGATATTGAGCTTGTGTTTTATTTATGCAACAATATAGCAGAAAGAATGTCTTTTGAATTTTATTAGTATTTATTTTCTCTTTCTTTCTCTTTCTCATCCCATGTGCATCTTTTGGTTCCGGCCCTGCTGATGAGTAAATTGAACAAATTGTGTTGGTATTGAATGATATTATATGCCAATGTAATATCATTGTTTGTATGTGTGTGCATACTACATGCATATAAAAACTTTACCTGATAATAAACAAAAATGGCATATACGACAAGTTGTCTAATATTGTGATCTCTCCCAGCTCATTTAGCTTATCTGAGCCAAATGATCCGGCTCCCGATTATGAACCGGAATTCCCACCACTAACCAGCAAGCTGATCATCAGCACGTGACCCAGGCGAACGCAACTCTCAAAATCACATGGAAGAAATAAATATTATGTACAATTGTCCAAAATCTATCATCAAACTAGACACTGAAGTTTCAAATTGTAAATATTAGCTTTTCTTTGTAAAACCTGATTTATTACCGACTAAAAACAAAAGATTTACATAAACAAATTATTTACTTTTAATTATGTTAAAATTATTATGTTTAATAACAGATTGTGACAGTCATATAGGACCTTCTCTTATACTGTTAGAAAATATTAGTATACGCAAAAGGATTTTTTATTGCTGTCTATGTCACAAATATAGCAAAACCTCCTCTCCAAAGTTTTTATTATTATTATTTCCGTTAACCTTAAAGTAAATATAAAATAAATGTACCAGTTAACCCAATATGACAACTTTCCCTACAGCTTTCTTTCACTAGTATAATACTGACAAGCATTAAGTTATTTATCCCATTATTACCTTGCCATTTTTGTAACATACAACTTAATTATACTTTTAGCATCACGTTTGATCTTTTTTACATTCCTGTCTACTTTCCTTTGGCAAATTTGTCAGCTAGTTTGTTCTTTTCCATTCCGATATGTGCAGGAGCCACAATAATTGAACCTCTATCGGATCCTGACCAAATTATTTCTATCACAATTTCCTGTCTTGAGTATAAATCTAAACATATTGAAATATTCGTATACTTCCTGTACTCAGTCCAATGGCATCAACGTTGCTGTCAATTATTTTATTTGGCTTAAAATTGTTACGATTTAAGTGATATAAGGTTCAGTCCACCCTCCATTCCGGCTGATTGTACTAATTATATGTAGCTCCTCCGTAGGAGAGAAACAGAGAAGTGATGGTTGTTCCACCTGCGGAACCCAAATCACTGCATTTTGTTTCACCGGACACATTTTACAGAGGGACTTAACACTAGCTTCACTGGGTGAGGTAAGGAAATTTTAAAGTTATCTCTTACGTCTGAAATAACTTTTTTTATCAATTATCCAAGAGTCAGTTAGGGTTTGTATGTCAGCATTAATTAAAATAAAACATAAAAATAAATTAGCACGAAGTGGACGCCATTAGTTTTCCACTTCTGTTTTTAAAAGCTAAGATCACCACGAACTTTTCTCTTTCCTGTTACAGCTGTTACTGATTCCAGAGATGCCCAAAAAGAAAACCGGAGCCAGGAAAAAGGCGGAGAACCGCAAAGAGCGAGAGAAACAGATCCGAGCCAACAGGGAGCATGTCGAAGTGGCCAAACACCCCTGCAACGTGAACATGGTCTGTAGCCGCTACAGCTGCTACTGCTTTGGCTAACAGGGCAAACAATTCAGTGCGCTAATCCTCACCGTTTATTGTGTTTTTACAGGAATGTGACAAATGTCAGAGGTAAGTCTGTTTTTAAAGCAGATGAAACGGATTCAGAAGAACTTTGATTTGAAGAGAAATAAACGTATTTCTGATTATTTTTCGTAGGAAGCAGAAGAACAGGGCATTCTGCTACTTCTGCAACTCCGTGCAGAAGCTGCCAGTCTGCGCTCAGTGTGGTGAGTTTTTTTAATGTTGTAGTTTTCTTTAAATTAAACACCAAGCTGAAGAGTTATTCCACCTAATTAACCGTCCCAAGCATTTTTAATTCATTTAAGAAAATTACTCATGTAAGGATCTTCAAAAACTTGTGGACAACAAAGATTTCTAGTTGCAGTCAATCTCGCAACGAATCTGAATATGCCTCTGACTGAAGAGTGTTGCTGTATGACTGTCCTATGTCTTATTAAATTACACACAAATGCACTGTTTCAATTTTATTTAGGATTATCGGGGTAAAATAATGTTATTGTTATAATAAATGTTGATTTATTTGTGTTCTTCAGGTAAAACTAAGTGCATGAAGGCTTCAGATTGCGTTGTCAAGCATCCAGGGATCCACAGCACAGGAATGGCCATGGTGGTGAGTTTATATCAAACTATAATTAAATCTTGTTCTCATCTGGACTTGTTTAAAAAAAAACAAATGGTAACAGTTACACTCTCTGGATAGAAATACAGTTCTAGATATTTTCTGTAGTTAAATAAAATTAGTCACTTTATTAAAGTATATGCTTATATAAAACTACCTACTATTTTATCTAATGTAAGGCATTCTTCTCGTTAGAAATCTTGTAATTCAAAGTAGGTTTATTAGTTTCAATATTTATTAAAAGGCAGATGAAGTGCAGAACATAACATGTCATATTTTAATTGCAGGATTTTATTTATTTGGGAATAAAGTTGATCTAGTCAGGAATAGAATGAAGACAAAAATCAGAATCGGGCCTCAAGTGTGCAATAGCCAAGAACATATTTCCAGTAGAGGCCACAATTTATCTTTAAAATGCTTAATCTGCTGATTCCAATTTTGACCAATACTGTTTTTGTAGTTGACTGCAAAGATGAAAATAGAATATTTTGATATCTTCCCAAAAAAAACAAGTTTTTGCAGGTACTCTAAAGAAGACATGAGCAGTGATGAGAATAAAAATAAATCACATTTATTCCTCAGGATTCTGTGATTAAACATTTGTTGTTTTATTCTAACTTCTTTTTCTTCAGGAATCTAACTTTATAGAGTGAGATCAAAAGTCAGAATTATTTTATTCATTATTTTCAAGGGTCCTGATCTTCCTCCATAAGAACAGCTACTGATTCAAGTACACCTTGGTAGTTTTTCCACAGAGTTTTTTGTTTTTGCCTCAATCATTCCTGAACTAATAGTATTCATGTGCAATATGCTGCCAGTTTTTCTCCAATTGTGATTCAGTTAACCAATTTTAGATCATTTTTATTCTGTCCAGATATGTAAAGCCTGTTTTTATCCACCAGGGGGCAGTGTGTGACTTCTGTGAAGCCTGGGTATGCCACGGTAGGAAATGTCTGAGCACCCACGCCTGCTCGTGTCCTCTGGCCGACGCCGACTGCATCGAGTGTGAGCGTGGAGTCTGGGATCACGGTGAGACACTCCTTTCTGCTTACAAATAAATCCTATTGGCTCAAACACAGAAAATCAACGGGAGGCTCCATTTTCTTTGCAGGAGGTCGGATTTTCCGCTGTTCCTTTTGTCGGAATTTTTTATGTGAGGATGATCAATTTGAGCACCAGGCCAGCTGTCAAGTCCTGCAGGCAGAAACCTTTAAATGTGAGTCATGTGGGTTTACGCGCCCATTCATGTGGTTAAAAGGAGAATAAATTGTGTCTTGTTTGTTCTGCAGAGATTGTTTGATCTGGAAGAGATTTGTACATTGGAAAAAAGTGAATGCATTTTTATTTTTTACTGTGTTTTATTTCAGGCGTTTCCTGTAACAGACTGGGACAGCACTCGTGCCTGCGCTGCAAGGTGAGAATGTTCAGCTGGCAATTTTATCCTTCCCGTCAGCCTGCATCACACAAGAAAAGACCGGCCCTCAAAATTCCTTTAACATAGTCTGTGAACTAAAATTAGACAGACGCAATTTTTGCTTTCGTTTACACCATTTCAGAAAATCTTGCAGGAATCCTGAGGTTGAACAAAGTAAACTTTAAAGATTAATGCTTTCCTGACTGAGCAGGTTCAAGGAAACGCTCCGATCAGATAGAACTTGACTAGCCAGAAACTCGTTTAACCTCCTGTGGCTAAAAATAAGCACGTGTTGTTATGCAAGTGCTGCCTCAGGGTCAAGTTATCATGGTGTTTAAAATGAAAATATTTTCAATACACAGTACATTAAATGAGTGCTTTGAAACAATAGCACTTAAAAGAAGTTGTGCTGGCTTATCGCACAAAAAAACACATTGAAATGTTTTTTTTTAAGGGACAAATTAGAAAAAGGTTATAAAAACTCTGCATCATGATCCCAGTTGGTTATACTTATTTAAAGCAATTTCTGTGTCAGTTAATATTTTTAGTTTCAAACTGGATATTTCATTTCTACAGTTAGATTTAATAAAAAGAGATATAACCAAGGTTACGCTGACTCACCATTTTAAGGCGTAAGAGGTTTACATAAACACTTCTGCTGTGACAGGGTTGCACAACAGCAGCTTGAAAGGAAAACATTAAGTTCAAAGGTTGGTGAAATTAAAGGTAATTAAACTTTGAGAACAAAGAGTTGGAACAGAAACAGGAAATTGGTGGGTCCTCTGCGGCTGGGTTCAACATAAGATGTTGCTCCTGAAGCCATTTCAGAATTTGAAAACGTTAAGCAATTAGATCTGGGAACTACTCATAGTTAAAGGAGAAGAAATTATGAGCCTGTGATGAACTGTGTTTTGAGGCACTGGACCTTTGATTTACTATTTACACTGCAAAACACAAAATCTTACTGAGCAGTTTTGGCTAATTTCTTGTACAAATATCTTAGTGTACTTGAAATAAGAGAAAAACTAACAAGTGACTTCTCAGCGAGATATAAGAGCCTGTTTTAAGGAAATAATTTATTAATATTGATTAAAAAAGAAAACATTATTTTACTGGCAGACTTTTTTTTCACTTGAAACAAAATACTTTTTCCCCACATATGAAATAAACTGCTAGTGTAACTGATACTTTTTAATCGCTATCATAAAATTATTGGGCGCCTATATCCTGCTCAAAAGTTACTCTTCAGTTTGTTTTGTCTTATTTTAAATGTACTATATTTGCACCAGAAACTAATTAAGCTCCATCTTATTGAGGTTTATACGTAAATGTCTATAAAATATATATATGTAAGGGTAGAGAATGGAAAATGTTCCTGTTGTTTAACACAACGGGGTCCACTTGGAACTCAGTGTTTCAGCTGTTCTGCAGTTTTCTGGAAGTTTGATCCATTGTGGTGCATAGAAGCTTCTCCATGTTTGTGTACTGGAAAAAAAGTCTTCATATTTGTCAATAAGCAGAAAAATATGCTGCAGGCCTTGTATTGCATATTTTGCACCAATGACCCTAACCCATTGAATTTAGATGGTTAGCTATATGCCTGCATAAATAGCGGTTTCAGCCTGTGATCATTCATTCATCTTGTGGCGTTCCTCAAGGCTGCATTCTCGGGGAACTTTTACTCTGTCTGGATTCTCTTCTAGCTCAAACTGCGAAGTATTACGACTTCTGTTGCAATTCATAAACACCTCACTTAAAAGCACATAAAGAGATGGCTCTTTTAAATGGGATTTTAAAAGAGCCATGGTGTTTAAATTAGTGTATGAACAACTAGAAGTAAATTGTCTTTTGATTTTTGACTTGTTCCACTTCCTTATTTACTCAGCATGACTGTCTTTTTTTTAATTTTTTTTTATTTAAAGGGGTAAAAACAGAAATGACTTCACTCAACTTGTTTATTATGTTAGTTCTGTCCCTGCAGTGTCGGTTTCCTTTGTTGTTCTGTTGCTTGAACATTCTCTCTTTCTTGAACACTTTTTTTGTTTTTAATCCAGTTGATAGGACAGTGAGTATTACAAGTTTTTTTTCTTCACATCTGCAGGCCTGTTACTGTGATGACCATGCCAAGAGTAAAGTGTTCAAACAGGAGAAAGGCAAGGCTCCACCTTGTCCGAAGTGCGGCCATGAGACCCAGGAGACCAAAGACCTCAGCATGTCCAGTGAGTTTCACACAGCTGGAACTTGTCTTACCATTCCTGTAAATCTGCCAAATCAAGCAAGTTGCAGCAACCTCAGTTTCCTTCTTGAATGCTTTTGGAAAATGAAACAGAAAATATGCACTGATAACTTCTTGGCACAGGGGCTTATTTCCCATAAAATGTTTAGAGAGGCTTTTATACAAACAACTCACCCTGAATGTCTTTTTTCTCTTTCTTTTCTCTTTTTATTATTATTTTTTTAAGTTCCATCTTACTGAGGTTTATATGTAAATGTCTTTAAAATATTTTTCTTACCACAGTGTAAGGGGAGAGCATGGAAAATGTCCCTGTTGTTTAACACAGCTCTGTTAAACAGCAGGGAGTTGTTGAATGCCAGATCCTTGAGTGAACACAACTTTTTTCCATTTTGATAGCAAACTGTAGCAGTTTTATTGTTGCCTGGCAACATTTATATAACAATAATAGTAGTACTGACACCTGAAGGGCCGTAGAAACCCTGGGAGGTCCACCAGTCTAACAACAAAATAAAATGCTCTTTTAAAGATCACTCTTATTTACTTTACATCTCAGCTCACACAAGTAATTAAAAAAATATTCACAGATTTTAACTCCTTAAAGGGCCAGTATTATATAAAATTGCCTTTTTTTCATAGCTTCACATCACATTATAATGTTATTACCTCAACAAAAACATACCAGCAGTGATTCTTTCATGCATGTTTAAGAAATCCTATAAATTCCATGGCAATCATTCAGCGGTGCACAACTTCAAGATGCAGCTCCTCCTCCGAGCTGCATTTCCAAGCTTTCAACATCTTCCACACAGAGCAGCCTTCCCCAACTCAACTCCTTCAGACTAGCCAGCAGCAATTCACAAATACCTGGTGGAACGAAGCATCTGTTGAGCTCATTATCTGAGCTACTGCTTAGTGAATCCATAAACTGAGCCCAACACCTTTTATATGTAAATACTTGTCTTGTTTAAATTTCCACATTTTCTGTTTTGGCCTCTTTATTTTCATTGCAAAGCATAAAAATAAATGTTCCAGAATGGCTGCCTTAAAATGAACACCGTGAGATGAGAATTCTTGAGTAGAAAACTGATGTTGCCTTCAAACTAAGAACAGTTTTTTAAAAGTTATTCAGATTCATGCACAGAATTAATTTGTGCAAGCTTGATTTTTATGCAAGCATGAATGTCTGCAGCGGAGGCCGTGTAGAGGACGAGATCCGCTCTAAATCTGATTGGTCCGTTTGTTCTCTGCAGCTCGTACCTTGAAGTTCGGTCGGCAGGCCGGTGGCGATGACGATGACGACTACGATGGCGCGTCCGGGTATGACGCCTACTGGAAGAACCTGGCAGCTGGAGGAAGCCGACAAGACGACTATGGCGATGATGATGATGAGGAGGAAGAGGAAGAGGAGGATGACGGGTATGAGGAGGATGAAGAAGAGGAAGAAGATGAAGGTGAAGAGGAGGATGAAACTGCTTCGGAGTCTCTGGCTGAGCTGAAGATAGATGGCACTGCAGCCTAAAGTAAGACTGAGGAGTTGATGACCAGAGTGGATTTTAACTGAGTGAAAGTCACAGAGTTTGGTTTAAATACAGAGCGTTCTGCGTTCAGGCAGCCTAATGCTCTTGTAATCTTTGGAAGTGGCTTATACGTGTTCTTTTTTTTTTTAAAGCTTTTCACAGTTGTTTGTCCAGTCCTGGTATCAGTATGGTATGATGAGGCAGTGGAGGACAAACGTAGAAAAACCATAAACTGTACCAGAAAGCCAAATTTACTCAGGAGCGAGTAAATAAATATCAAAAGGCAAAACTGACAGTTAAAAGCTGCATTCTGCAGTTTGTTGATGAAGAACTATGAGATTCTCACACTTAGGCAGGGCTTAATAAAAGAACCATCTATTAAAGGATATTTATAAATTAACACCTATATAAATAAATATAACCTGATTTTTCCTTAAAAAATAATTTTTATTGCTGCTAAAATAATCTACAGTTAACTTGCTGCTGTTTTGCCCATCTTGTATAACAGGAGTATATTATTAAATGATCAAGTTTTTCTGCTAAATGTAATAACATTTCAATCAAAGGATAGGCAGTACTTAGCATCATGTAGAGGAGGGGCAGATAATTAGCAGATAATTGTAAACTCCTGTACACAACGGATTTCTTTTGCATTGCATTAAAAGGACTTTAAAAAAGCATTTCATTGAAATTCAGGAGCAGAATTTTGTTTTGCAGAGACTTTCTCTGTAGAACAAGTCAAGTTTTAGATCTCATAAAAAGGCATAAAGCGGCTTCCTCTGACACCTTCTTACTTTGTTTCTTGTAGGCGACACTCAGCCCCCGCACAAGGTGTTGCAGTTTTACCGTTATGACTTTTCTAGTTAAAATAAGAACATGTTTTGGTTTTAACAAAATATAAAGCATTACTTTTTTGTTTGGCTTGTTAAAACGTGAAGCTTTCTCGTTTCAGCAAGAAACGGTTCCTGAAACTAACTCTTCCGAATTTTCATGTGTAAAAATGATGTGATGGGAAAATTGTTGTAGTTCTTAAACTGTGCCAGATCTCTGTAAGTTATCCAGACTGAATGGTTACATAGTTGTGGATTTATTTTAACGCTTGAGTATTAGCAAACAAAAACATAACTGCCATATGTAGAAATGACAATGGTTCTTCCCATGGGATTTTTCTTGCCAAAAAGAGTTGTGGGTCCTGTATACTGGATTGAAATCAGGTGAAAATCAGTCAAAGTCCAAGGAAAATCTTTTAAGGACCTTCATAAAGGCTGATTGAACTGTTGATCAGAATCACTGTTAAAATTGAGAAAGTCTAACTGTTAGAAAGCATAAAACAACATAAGAAGTGACTATTTTGAGCCCCTTATTCATTCCAGCACTCTCTGGCGACTTTCAGGAATATTGTGAACCATTTTAAACTTCACCCTTCTGCACAACATTGAAGGAATAAAGTTTAATATGAATCTAAATCAATAAAATTGTGACTGAACATTCTTTATTTTAATTCATTCCCTGAAATGCTTGGTTTTTAACAGGGTTGGGACTTTAATTTCGATGACTAAATTATATAAATTTAACTCATTTAATTGGATATTTTCTAACATATAGAGCTTCTGAGTGGAGCCTTTGTATTTGCATGTTTCTGGTACTCCTGTACATCTGACTTTTGATGGACGACAAAACCGCCCTTTTTGGTCCACGGGTGATACATTTCTGCTAAAAAAACATTCTGATGGGATTAAACTATTGTGCTAAAAGGTGTTAGACTATCAACGAATATGTTCAAGCCTAAAACAGCATCTCAATGCCAAACAGCAGCATAGAAATCCCCAATGCTAATGTCAGCAATGATGCCTAAAAATATATATATTTTCCAAAGCAACATTTTGCTTTTAGGCTTCCAGAAACACCTAAAAGCAAAATGTTTGTATAATGTAAATAATATTAAAAATATTTATTGCGTTGCTAAGCTTGTATGTCTAAATATTCAATATTGGCAGCAAATGGGTTTATGAATTGAATATCTTGCTTAAATTGTTTATTTAAAATGTGATTAATTGTAATTAATTACAGCCCCTGCAATTCACTGGCTAAACATTTTAATTGAGTCCCACCTCTATTTTCTTAATAGTTGGATCTCCATTAGTAACATTAGTCAATTACCTTACAATATGTACATATGATTTCAAAATCTCTTCCTGCACTGAGAACCTTGTAGAGAGACCAGTAGGAAGATCTCATGATTAATGTTTCCACTGTTGTGCGTCTAAGGTTTTTGGTATGGCATACGTGGGAGTTTGATTTTATCATGTCTGTTTGTTGTAGGGTTCATTACCGAAACCCCATAAGAATTTACTTGTTTTTCAGTCGTTTTATAGCTGGTTGGATTTTCCCAACTAAAGGCCAGATGACTCTCTTGAATGTGTCATCCGTCATGTCTACTGTAACAGAGACTGCAACATGAGCATAATGTGCAGCAGTGCTGCTTCAGTGCATTCAGTTCTTTTTGAAACCACTTAAGGAACTCATACAGTTAATCTTTTTTCCTCTCAATTACTTTAAGATAAGTTTTTTTTACAGTTTTAATGAGTGTGTTTTTGTGGCTTTTCTCACAAAGATGGAATTTTTCCTTCAATGTCTCCATTGACTCTTTAAATTTTGACAAGAAACATATGCAGGATAATCGTAATCAGTGGTTTGACTAAGGGATTTGAATTAATTAAGATTATCTGAATAAACAAAATATAAAATCACATTTTTTTTCTGCCTGTCTGAGAAACTTCTTTTGTTCAGTTTAAACTACCAAAATTGTTATTTGTTGTCCTAAATGCTACAATAATTATTGGATAGACTTTAGACTTCTTTATTGTCCATTAAACTTACATAAAATAGAAAATTTGCTTTGGTAATGGCACAAAGACGCACAACACAAACACACATCACAGCACAATAAGGAAAAATAATAGACATATGTCTAGATGGTAAGACAAAATCTGTGAGAAGGAATAATTTAATGCATTATTTGAAAATGGTATCTTCTGTTGACTGTTTATCCAGTTGATATATAACCACAATAAAATACTTCCACCTTTTTGAACTCTATACCTAAAATTTAAACTGTTCATCTGGCCAGGCTACTTCCTGGTGAAGTAGCCTGGAAGTAGCCAGGCTGGGGATGCAAACGTATAAAAACATTATTATCAAATAATGTTTTTATAGATTACAATTAGTTCCAATCGATTAACTAAAGATGTCTGCTTAGACCTTCTATTTGTTGTACTTTACCCTCCAACCAGAAGAGGACGCCGGCGGTCATCCTAAAGCGGATCCAGTTGATGTAGAAACAAAGTTGGCGCCCAAACTAGCAAGCATTGCTGCAGAAGGGTAGAGAAGGGCCTTGCTGCAGCAAACGGAAAAGGGCGGGACAAACCACGGTCAGGTTCATACCTTATTTGGAAATGGGACCATTGCACTCCGGATGTGAAGGGGGCGCTATTTCCTATATTATCTATGGCCTCCTGTTTTATCTTCTTTTGAAATATGTGGCATATCTTCGTCTCTAGGAAGAAGTTTCACTCTCAGTATGTTATGAACTTCTCTCTTTTACTTCAGCGCAACTCAGAGTTTAACAAATTCTGCAGCTTTCGGTGTACTTCTAAATCTGCTCCTTAGTCACATCTTTTCGAGCTTGCTACTGCCTCTAGTGGCGTGGGAGTGGTAACACAACTAATATAATTACATTACTAAATCAGCAGAGAGTGAGAGAAAATCCTGCATTCATGGTTAACATATTTACATACAAGAAAAAAGTTTGAGAGTCAATCAATCAAAGTTTATTTATATAGAACATTTCAGCAACAAAGGCATTTCAAAGTGATTTAAATCATAAAGAGCACAAAGTCATGCAGCATACAATCAACAATTGAAACATTACTTTCTGTCAAGTGCCATCGTTAAATGTTTAATCAATTATGCTTCAAAGGCAACTCCAACAGTTGGGGATAGTGATGATATGTCATTGGGATCTTATGATCGGTTAATTGACAACATTCGAGTTGATTGGAATTAAATTATATCCACATATATGGATATAGTTTAAGGTACAACTCAAACACACTCATTCCTTTGGTCGGGTCATGAAAAAAATAATCACCTGGTCTAGTTCATCATTGGGTGAAATGATGAACCAGACCAGATGCCAAAACATTTCAGCATAAACATCTTGGGAATGACCAGTAATTTTACCTTCTGTGAAGGAGGTGGAGTAATTTGAAACAAGGAAAAAAGTCTGATTATCCTACCGATTTAATAAAAGAATGATTCCATCAGATTCAACCTAAGAAGTTGAGAAAACAAGTGCGGTTTTTAAATACAGCAAACACAATATCTGGTTTCAACTAATCATAGTAATTAGTGATTCTATACTTCCTTTATTATTCCAACCCCTAATCGGAAGTGAAAGGAACCGTTTAGTAATTTAAGCATTTGACAGGCAGTAATTTATATAACGACCACAAAACAGGCAGCACTGTTTGTTGCCTTGCAGCAAGAACGTCCTGGGTTCAATTCCCGGCCAGGGGTCTTTCTGCTTGGAGTTTGCATGTTCTCCCTGTGGGTTCTCCCTGGTACTCTGACTTTCTTCCAAAAACATGACTGTCAGGATAATTGGTCTTTCTAAATTCTTTCTTGGTGTGACTGTGTGTGCATGGTTGTCTTGCTGTCTCTGTGTTGCCCTGCGACAGACAGGCGACCTGCCCAGGTGACCAGCACCCCCTGACCCCACTGGGGACCAGGGTGTCAGAAAATGGATGGATGGGCCACAGAACAGCCGGAAAAGTTGTAAAATATGATGCAGATGAGACGCTGTCTCGGTACTAAATCAACATAATAAAAGCTCTCCGTAATAAAAGTGACATGACAGCTGAAAAAATTTTACAATAATGCAATGACGAAGGAGGAGTGCGCGCTCGACGTGACGAGAGAGACGCACAGGGCGGGCGTGTGTGTTCAGTGTGTGTCAGTGTGTGTTCAGTGTGTTGGGAGAGAGAGTGGAACTGCGGAACCGCTCGGCTCCAGTGCAACAGTGGATTTCGGACCAATGAGACAAAGCGGAATTACTGTCGCAGATCCAATGCGAAGATGTGATAGAGTTGTGCTGGTGCTGTGCTGGGAAGAAGAGCCCCCGCGGCAGCTGCGCTGATGATAGAAGAATTCATGACGGCTCTCCAGGTCATCCTTCTCCAGCTCTCATTGCCCCGGGACCAGCGAGCGGTAAGCGGTTTTACCTCCCCACTCTGACCCGACAGCTGGGGCCAGGGCGCCCTACATCGGGCATATTATGAGAAGCATTTTTTTTTGTTATGATTATTATTTGTCGTAAAGTAATTGTGCGCGAGTTTAATCCGGCGTGGTTTCACTGCACACGTGTCTGGTTTATTACACTTTCAAGTAACTCTCTTATTTGGTTTAGAAAACTTGAAAAGCCACTTTCTCAGATTCACTTTCACTTTCATTTTCCAAGCGCTTATGGCTCCACCTGCTGTTTTGAGGTTGTAGTGCCGGACTCACCAGAAACTGAACTACTTATTTGTGCCATGCAATTGCTTGTTTATCCATAAGCAAAATGCAATTCATACAAAACTGCATTTTGTATAATTTTTCTATCACCGTACAAAAAAACCGATTATTTCATTTGATAGACTTTATGTCCTCTGAGGGCAAATTATTTGCAGCGAAGTCCAAATCCACTCCACAACAATCCACTCCCACTCACCAGAGGAGAGGAGAAAAACAAAACAAAAAAACTAAACATTAAAAATTTATATCAGGAATCCAACAGCATGACTCATCTGAAATCATTTCAAAACCCTGCAGCTAAAGAAATAAATGATCTCCAGTACCTGTTTGATATTGCCTCTTAGGCACAAGTAAACTGCCTTCTCATGATTAAAAACACATATTTATACTCACTGAGAATCTCTACTACTGTACCATTAATAACTAATGGTACTCCCTACGGGAGTAGCCAAAACATTTCAGCATAAACATGAAATGTCTCCCTACGGTTGTAGGGAGACTTCTTTGAAAATCAATCATCATGGCTTTTGTTTTCAAAACATTTCACTGCAAGCATGACTTATTGCACTGGTGGACAAATTGTTCTGATATAAAACAGGACTAAAAAAACCTAAGCAGAAGAAATCTGTAAAGGACAAAGACCTTTTTCACCATTCTGTGAGAGAGTGGTGAAAGCTGGCGTTGTCAGATGTGAGGATTTATAGGCATCAGTACAGTTCTACACTGAGAACGAACAATACAAATAAATGTAAGTTTTTCTTCAAGGATGCAGATAGAGAAATAAAGCAAAGACCAGAAGGAGAAAGAAATTAAAAGTACAACAAGGTGCTGAGAGATGAGCTGTGGTATATTATATGATCAGGCCTGCATTAGCAGAGAAGTTCGCTAAGGGCCCTGCATGGCTGGAACCAAGCCAAACTGTTGACACGTTTAGTTTCGAGACATTTGCACACACCCTTCAAGGGCCACAAGACACATTAAACCGGTGCTTTGTCATATGAGTGGTTTACAAGAGTTACAGTAAATGCAGCAGCCATAACGGAGAGCAACAGTTCTTACAAAATCACAAATTTGGAAGAAGTAATGATTGACGAGCTGCAACATCTCATTTTATTGTCAATGTTATTGGGAAAACAAAAAACAAAATGCGATGGCGGGAAGCTAAACCACACAAAACTATTTATGCTGCTATCAATCTGAAGAGCCTGCATCTGGAAGTTGAGTAATTGAGGCTGGTTTCTGCATAAACACAGCCAGGATATTCTGACCCACCACTCTCGTTTCACACGCAGAGGGGAGCAAAACGTTTTCTGTGGAATGTGTGAAAACAGTTTTCGTCAATTTAGCCTGACCATGCAGAGCCCTTTAGAGTGGGGTTGGACATGCATGAAAGCTGTGAGGTGTGCTGATGTGTTCAAGGTAAACTCATCAGCACAGGTAAAGATCAACATGCAGAAGTTGAGGTTTTATTCGTATGTGACGAGGATGGGTAGGATCAGGAATGAATACATCAATCAATCAATAAAGTTTATTTGTATTGCACATTTCAGCAACAAGGCAGTTCAAAGTGCTTTACATCATGAAAACATAAAAACATCATAAACAGAGGGACAGCTGACGTTGAATGTTTTAAAGAGGATGAACTGAGTGTTTTTTAGACATGTTCAGAGGAGACTCACTGATGCAGAAGGATGGTGAGGTTGGAACCACAGGGCATGATTTATAGATGGGTTGTAGTTAAGTTAGTTAATGGGAGGATGGACGATGCACCTTCTAAATGGAGAGAGATAATTCACTTTGGTAATAGGGGAAAAGCTTAAGACTTTTTCACAGCACTGTAAATTACCTTAATCCTGGTTCTTGGATCCAAAAACTGGTCTGAATATCTCTGAAAATGCTAATCTACCGTGATTTTGGATGACAAAGACTGATGAGAGGAGAACCTGGAGCCTATGTTGTATGTTGTTGCTGACCATGTGCTTTCCTATATCACCACAGTGTCACATAGTTTGCACCGAGAAGCTAAATTACAATCGCTTAAAAGTCAGAGGAAGTTTGTAACATTCACATATTTTTAATACTTAGCCCAAGAAACCCCTTCTACCTATGGAAAGCCAGTGATAGCATCTCCTTGATGACTTTGCCTCCTTCAGACTGAACATATAATGAAGGGGAACATTACAATTTGAATGGTGGATCACATTCAACAGTTGTGAACCTCGTATTGAAATGTTTTTGGTTTGGCACGTGGACAACTTGCGGTATTTAATGAAACACTGAATTCTGGTCTCCACCAGGAATTTGAGGAGAATGTAAAGCTCTTACACTCTTGGGTTTTGTATCAAGATCTGTAATATATTTGAACCATTAGCAAGATTTCCCAGTGGCCACTTAAGATCTTTCTGTTTGATCTTACTTGGCTGTTCATGCTCACAAATCCTCTCCTGAAACCCTCCTAAAACAATTCTCCAAAGGAGACTGGGTCTAAATCACTCCACAGTGATGTAAAAGGCTTCTTGTTTTAATAACAACATGGTGTTATTCAATTTCACATGGAGCCATATTGTGTTGGACAACACTTTTGTAATCTTTTGAAAACTGCATTTTGTATCCAGTTACATCAATTTGCATAAAAAAAATTGGCTACAAAAAATAAAGCAAAAATTGAAGAAATCTTTCAAGGGACACTTTAAACACTTTTAAGAGCATTTTAAATATGCAGTGGTTCTTGGTGCCAAATAGGCAAATCTGGGTGTCTTTAAAATGTTCATCTACTGGGATTTTCACACCATCTCTTGGTTGACAAAGATCAATCAGAGGAGAATGGGGAGTGTTTTTTTAGTGAGCTTGTCCATCTTTTTATGACCACATTATACAAATTGTTTGAAATCTCTGTTGACCTGTAGACTCTAAGCAACACATACACACTGTCTGACATTCCTCAGTTTTTTCCACATGCACTCCAGATCCTGGTGGTAACCCTCACTGGCTGATGTCCATGCCTTTCCTTATTTGATAAGTCCCAGTGTAAGACCTCTGTGATCAGCCACGACACCGGTAAAGGCATTCAGCTGTTTACAGAGCCAAGTGTATTATAGCATCTTAGAATAAGACCTTTAGTTAGAAAGGCAATGCAGTGCTGTGCAAAAGGTAATAGTCATTCCTTATTTATGCTTCCAGGAGGCCATAGTCTTAAATTTGAAACTGTAACTTTGCTTTAAACTTCTCCACAACCTTCTCATTGACCTGCTTGCTGGGATTTACGGTTTTCATGAGGCTGATTGGTTTGGTTTGGTTTGAAGCTGAATGTTCTCTGAGAAACCACTGACGCTTTCATGATTTATTCACACTGACATTAATAGTCTATTTGTTAAGTTGGAAACTGTTCAAGTCTATTGGTTGCACTGGATTTTATAATTTTTTTAAAATTTTTTGTTAGTTCTGTCTTGTTTTTTTGTGTGGAGACTTTTGCTCATAATTGTTTTTGGTTGAAGGCATTGCATGTTTAGGAAATAATTCCCTATAATTTTGGATGCTGTGCTCTTACAATTTTTTATTTTCAGACAGTTGTTAAAATGCATAGCCATGGCTACGAGGGGTAGTTCTTACTATCAGGAGCAGCTCATTATCATCTGAAAAGTCCTAATGATACTTGAACTTTGACCCCAAATCCCAGAACTGAGAGAGGAGGAGGTTCAAACCATCTCTTTCATCAATTATAATGGTCTTCAGTCAGAGACCTGTTCAGATTTATTGTAAGATTGACTGCTACTGGAGACGCTTACTCACAGCATCACCATCCACCACAACTCTTTGCTCATACATGGGTGATACGAATGACAACATTTCATTTCCCTTTGGAATGAATAAAGTGTCTGAAAGTTCAGCTAAACTGAATTGATCCAGTGGGGGCTGAATACAAATGCACACCACTGATTTAAAGATTTTTATTTGTAACAGTTTTTTTTTTTAATCGAGTATCATTTTCCCTCCATTTTACAATTTTGCCCTACTCTACTTTTTGTTGGCCTATCACACGAAATCGTTTCTGCTGCACTGTTTGCACAGATGGAGAAGTTGAGAGGTGACATTCCTAACCTCTGATTAAATGCCACTCGGGTTTATTATTGGCTACAAGAAAGGTGTTGAAGAATATGTTACTTTGAACATCTACAGTGCACAATATTATGAACAGAATCTGGGAATTTATCATTACCCATGCTTTGATGTTTCTCCCATCACTTGATGTGCTTGGATTGGCAACTTTGAAACAAATAAAATGTTCTCCATTTGTGTCAGAAGTCGCACAGACTCCTGTGTTGGAAAACCAGCGGGATATGCTAGCTGTTCTACTCTGAGCAGACTAGTATCTCAAGAAACATACATTGTACTCAAACAATAAAGAAGCGTGATTAGAGGTGGACGTTGGACAGGTTTGACAGGTTTAACGACATTCAGTTGCCCAGAAGTCCATATGAACAGATTAGGGATGCAGGTATTGTTTGCTTATTATTGGGCCTTAAAGCAGCCATTTTAACTTTTGACATCACAAATCCCAATTGGGAAGAGACTGTGCCCTCCTCAAGACGGAAGCTAAAGGAGCATTCCAGCAGATGTTTTCCATCTTGAAACTCATTTATTACTGCACTGTTAAAATTCAAAGTTTAGCCAAGCCTGTTCTTCCTCAATAAGATTATTCTGAACAATATCCTTTGTTCAGAACAAATAAAAAACAAAATTTGTTTCAATTTCAGATGAAAATTTGTGATGCTAAGAGGTAAAATGTTTTAATGTGACGAGTTTCCATAAAATATTGAGAGGATCACTGGTACAAGTTAAAGATGGAAAAATAAAGGATTTTTTTCTGCTGTTTACAAAATTATAAATTGAGTATTTACACATTTTGGACAAATCACAGGCGTTGTTGTAAGCTAACATCAAAGGTGCATCTAAACAATGCAGATATTTTAGTAATTAATTATGCAGTACATAATGCACATTGATGGAGGAAGATTTCTGCAACAAAATTAGTAAAGTACTCCAATAACTAACCAGATGACTAACAAATTAATGTCTACAAAATACTTTCCAAAGGTTTGATATAAGCAGACGTATTAAAACGTTCTCCTTTTATGACTTTTAGAAAAGTGACCTGTTCCAGTCGACGTGGAAGCTGTGCTGCCGAGACAGCCACAAAACTCAGGTGTGGCTTTGTTTCTTTACTCTGAGGTAGGCATACAGTCTGTGACTTGATAGCAAATTAATACAGCCAAATATGCAACTAGAATACTTAATTGAAACTAATGAAACTGAAAAACATAAGTACAAAACGGGCAAATGTCATTTGAAATGTCCAATTGGTACTAAATGTAAATGTTGTTGAAAACAACTTTTTGTGATGTAAAAAAGGTTATAATATATAATTCAAAAACTTTTTACACACTTATTGTTGCATAAATTCTGGACAATAAAAGCAAAACAAACTTTTTTGTTGTAGTTGCTCAATTTCATCCAATTTCAACACTTAGTCTTCCTCCAAGTTGCCATTGATCTTCTTACAGTAGCTGAAGCATTCCCATAGAGCGGTCTTTATTCTGTTAGACAACGAGTGTTTGGAAGTGAGGGTTGGACTTGCAGAGCAAAAGGGGAGCAAAAAGGGAAATTTAAAATGTTTTATTTAATAAAAAAAATATATTGTATTTCATTATTTCACTGCAGCTCAGCAAAGGACACACCTGGCACCTTTAGCATAAAAAAACAACTTTTATCCTTTAGCCTCGTTTAGACCTCTTTCTGTATATATTTACTGAACTCTTTGACTAAACTGCAGTGTAATTATGGTGTCTCCTTTGTCTTACAGCTTTCTGACTTCATGTGCTAGTGCTACTCCTATCAAAGTAGGAGATCTACAGACCTGTCTCGAGAAAGAGCTGAAAGTCACCATTGAGGTGAGAGAAGGTATCAGATACACTCAGATTTTGTTTATTATTTTCCTTTAAAACTCAACAGTCCATCCAAGATTGTTCATTACAGAATTTCTTGGCGCAGCCAAAGGTATTGAGGGGATCCGATTTGGTGGCCTTAGGATCGCATCTCTGCTTTTTGCGGATGATGTGGTCCTGTTGGCTCCATCAGGACGTGATCTGCAGCTCTCACTGGAGCGGTTCGCAGCCGAGTGCGAAGGGCCGGGATGAGGATCAATGCCTCCAAAAGCGAGGCCCTGGTCTTGAGCTGGATCGTCCTGCCCTCAGTGGAAGAGTTTAAGTATCTTGGGATTTTGATCACGAATGAGGGAAGAAGGAAGCAGGAGATTGACAGGCGGATTGGCGCAGCGTCATGAAGCGGGCGCTGTACCGGTCCGGAGCGGGGAAGAGAGAGCTGAGTCTGGGCTCTCCCTTTGAGGGAGAAGCTCGGTCATCTGGGAGGGACTCAGAGTAGAACGCCTCCCTGGTGAGGGAGTATGTTTCTGGAGCAAGTGGCTCGGCAGAGGGACCCGACCCTGGATAAAGCGGAAGAAAATGGATGGATGGATAATCTACAAAACAAGAATTTTATTTATGGAGCTGTGTCACCACATTTTTCAGTATATTTTTAGTCTGACGTAGTTGAAAAATATTCTGACAAACGTGTTTTTATTACCTGCAACCACATTCATTATTCTCTGTTGTATCACCTTCACTTTTCTTTTTTTTATCATGTGGTTTTATTTGCATCAATTAAAAGTAAAGAACAGGGGCTTTAAATGCAGGAAATAGGTAATTGAGCCTAATCAAAATTACATCATTATTATTGAAAGTTCAGGGAAAAACCCACTGCATTAAAATCACTTTTTCATAAAAAATCTTTTCTGCTCAAATTTCACAAAAACGTCAGTGAGAGTTAATCTTGGCCAAAGTTCACAACCTTTGTTGGTGCAACCAAGGTGTTGAGATTTTTATAATTTAATGGAGGAGTTAAATTATTTCTGATAATGAAGCAGGAGTTTGGAAGGTAAGTTGCTGCACCAATCTGTCATGTTGAAGAGATTTATGGCAGCTGATTTATCAGGATTCTTTAAAAATATACTTGCACAGGTCTCTCACTACCAGTAGCTGCGATCAAATTCACCCATTGTAATGACAGAAGAAACATTCTTAATCACCCAGTGAAGAATTAACCATGCAAAACTTGTTGCCTCAGATCACAATCCTGGAAGGAGCGTTTAAATCTGCAGAAAAGATTATTTTTATTTTCTGCTCTCTTATACTTGAGTACATTTTTTGCAGTGTAGGTTTTGTTTTTGAAAGTAATTGTGTTTTAGGAAATAGTTTTATTAAAAACCTTATGTTGTGTCATTTTTTCCCTTCCTTTCAGAAATCTACTGCCAAGCTGTACTCCCCAAAAGCTGAAGACATGACAGTAAGTTGTAAATGCTCAATAGCAGATTCCTTTTCACTTTTTCACACAGGGAAGAGTAAAAATATCAAAAAATGTGTTTAAAGAGTTAACTTAGACTATTAATAAAGTACACTTAAAACAGCTAAAGCAGAACAAACATAAGACAAAATCAATAAATAAGAAAAACCTGAAAAATAAATAACATGAATAAGAAGCAAAGTGAGGATTAAAATGTGATTTAAAAGATGTGAGCAGTCTGTTTCCATAGTTTTGGAGCTCTCTCTGTGCTTTTCAGAGTAACTGGTGCAGCTCTTGCTTCTATTGGACTGCAATCATAGTGATAATCGACAAGTAATGCCACAACAAAAGTGTGCATCTTGAATATTTTATTCGAAGCTTTCACTCTTCACCAAATCCACCAGTGAAGCCATACACCAGGGAATTTCTGCTTCAACAAAGTAATCCGGGTGTGAATACTTTCTCTTTCACACAGACGGATTGCATTGCACCGAGCGAGGGAGAAAGACCAGTTGCATCCCTCTGGGATCTGAGATTCAGCTCGATTTAAGACAAACCTTTCACTCGGCCTCTGTAATTACAACATTTTGCTCCCCTCCCTAGTAAATGAGCCAGTGCTGAAGAGGGAGAAAGTAAGAAGAAAAATGACATCTGAGACGAGGAATGCATTTCTTCATCTTAGGGTTAGGGATACATGCATGCATGGGATGTACCAAACTGTAATGAGTTTGCTGAACCAATTCCCACAGTTTGCAGTTATACAGTTTTTTTTTTCTTGTAAGAATGCATTAGTTAAAAAGTTCATACCAAATAATAAATTTTGGGAATCAGGGGTGGGGGAAAGGCGCATAGATTTTCATAGAGGAGAGGAAGGTAAGCTGGAGGACACATGCAGATACAAATGAGCAGATCAAAACATTTTGTTATGATCCAGCCGCTTGTTGATACGATACCAGTGACTGGAGTCTCTCACACCAGCAGGCTCTGTAACACATTCACAGAACGTACAGCTGGATGGTTAATTATACACATGGACAGGCAGATTACAATAATAACAATGTAGCATTGTGCTGTGTTGTGCTACGTCATCTGTTCAGTTTAGCAATGTTTCTGATTAGGACTGTATGACTACATGAACACTTTGTTTATGGAAGAGGGAGACGGTTTACTATCCACAATTAGGGAGAAGGCTTGGGGTCAAAAGCCCAGGCATGTTCGATGATGCTAAAATTTTAGTGCCAACTAGTGACTTGGCATGACAACTACAGCTGAATCTGGGTGTCTTGGCGTTGCTGTCTAACTGCAAAACTTTTTTCCAATCAACATCTGGAAACCATCAATTTCCAGGCAGCAACATAGCACAAGTCTGAGGTACAAGATGCCATGTCTGCTTTGAATAAGAAATAAAGCTAAATAAAAACTCAGGGCCTTACGGCTTTACAGGCAGATTGATAAAATCAGTGCAGCACAACTTGGTCATGTGTGTTTTAACATGTTTAGAAAGTTCTTGGAACAGATAAAAACCCTAAACTGTGGAGGTAATCGTAAATCATTCCTCTGGCCAAATGCACTTCTCCCAGAAAATGACTTGAAGGCTTAACTTCACTGGTGATGAAGTACTTTAAAGAACATTTATATTGAAAGTTAATCTTATAAATCAGGTACAGACCTGCTGAGAGGCCATGCAGTTTGCATATAGACCATGAAGAAGAGCAGCAGATGCTTGCAATACATCCTTACATATACAGATGATACAGTTATTGTTCTTCAAAAGAACGGGACCGAGGACAAGCATGGGCCTGTGGCGGAGCCATGAAGCTCATCTAAACCTGAACTCTGTGAAAACAAATGAAAAGCAAGAGCTTAGGAAACCCAAAGCACCTTAAATTCAAACTTAAATTCCCATAACTACAGAGGCACACGGGTCAGGACTTAAAGGATAAAGAAAATATTTTCTTACTATGTAATACAGTTTTTAATTAAATACATATCATCTTATTCATTTTGGGTGATTTTATTTTTATTTGCTTTTAATTGCTATTGCATTGGTTGTTGGATGTGAATTGTTTTAATGCTGTTTCTACTCGATTTGTTCCAAAATGAGTTTTCCCATTAGGCTCACTTAGAAGGTCAGAGAGGTTTTACAGCATGGTGGTGGAGGGCTGGTGATCTGGGCTTGTATCACAGCAGGAGCATCTGAGCATCTCAAGTTAAAAAAACTATGCAAAGCTGAACAAATGTTTTTCAAAAAGGGACAATGCACAGCTTTACAACTGAAGTCATACATGACTGATCTAGCAAACAGGTGATCCTTTGCAGATAATGGCAGTTGTTAATTTAGCAAATATATTTTTATTGTTTTAACATGTACATATATCACAATATCATCAGCATACATCTGCAAATTCACATCAACACACTACTCAGAAAGATAATACAGAATAAGGGACTCAACATTTGACCTGCTTGCTACTTTGCATTGCAAAGTGTTCTGGAGTGAAATGTGTGACATCATCTGTCTGTTGTCTGAAACTTGATCAGTAAGGCTGATCCCAGACATGATGGCTGAAAACTGGAAGAATAAAGCTGTCGTAATGTCCTACTAAAAGTCCGGTGCTCAACCTGATTAAAAAGCTGCGCCGGATCTATTTTCTCCAAACCGCAGAGGATTTAAACAACGTTTTGAAAAAAGATTTGACCTAAATTCCTGAACAGTGTTATGAGAAATTGGTCCGATCCAATACAAACTGTTGATTCATAGTGTACTTTTGCCTTGTTTCTAAGAATACACATAATATTGACCTAAATATGAATCTGTGCTTTCTCATAATGAAGGATGTTCTTCTCTTGCAGGTTGGCTGTCAGCAAAAGGTGCTCTCCTGTTATATGTTAGAACTGATGATGGTCTTTGAAGAGGAAGACACAGAGCCGACGAAAACACAATGCGTCTTTAACTTCAACAGTACACTGTCACCTGAGGTGAGTGTTTGTAACTCCTGTTTGTGTTTTTTAGCCATTTGAAAATCGTTAGAAAAAACAATGTTTTCAAGAAATCTTTGTCTCTTTGACGTTTCAGACAAATTGTCCAGAATGTGAAATCCACTCCCTGGAAAACAGTACAGTTTTCTACGAAAGACTTTTGAACATTTTGCAAAAAATAAATGTATATAATGCATAAAAATATTTTATTCTGTGAATATTGCATTATAAGCATCAAAACAGATGACTTCCACCCTCCATAATGAATGAATGAATGTATTTTCATTGTTCATGATCCAGGCAAATGTATTTAAAAACGGTCTGAATGTATAGTATGACACTGTTTCACCATATGCCTTTTGTTGTACAGTTGTACTTTGTAGCCATGTTGTATATTGAAGATGCTTCTTAACGCCGCCGAATGTAACACTTGTACAATTTGTGTAAGAATTAACTCCAGGGTTTTCACTATATCTACCTTTGCTGTAAATACAGATTACTTTAAATGTATTTGACTGCTTTGCATTTTATTTAAAAGTTTCTTGTGAATTTCCAGAGGATGTTGCGATGTAGACAAGAACACTTAAAATAAAATCTACAATTCTTCTCAAAACCGAACAAAGAAACAAACAACAACAACAAAAAAAACCCCCACACACATCAGGCCTGTTAATGCTCTACAAGCCCATCTCAACATATCAGAGTCTCATTGAATAGTTTATTAAGTGCTGTGGCTATTTAACTTGTTTACCTATTTTTTTTTACCACACTTTTTCCCTCCACTCAACCTTCCATCAATATTTTTGGATTCAACACTCAGTGAACATCCAGCTTCTTTAGCTGTGGTTTTTTGTGGTTCACAGTGGAGCCATTGTATTTCCAGGGTTTAGTTGTGCACAGATATCTGATATATGCAGCAAATACTTGACATCCTCTCTGAAAACATTTTTATCTGCCTATTTCAACATTTCAAATACCAAATATGCCTAAATATGCATTAATAGTGGAAGTCACCTCAGCACTTCCACACAAGTTGATATCTACAGTCCTCCATATTTGACTAATGTCTTCAAAGTAAAAACAGCACAAAAACATTTTGCTGCACAAACAAAGTTGAGATGATTGACACCAATATTGTTTGACTTGAAGAAGGTCGGGGGCTGGTTGACCTTTCGTGACTTCTGCAAAATTTATAAATATCTTCAAAATGATAGTGGCATGAACAAAAAATGTGGCTGCATAAACATAGCACAAACGTTTGACACCAACATTGTTGACTTTGAAGAAGATGGGGGGACCAATACAAAAACAAGTATTAGAAAACATTTTGAGCTTCACTTTCACCAGCTTGCGCTCAATGCGGTCACTGCTGCTAGGTGACAGAACATTTCCTGAGGTCATGAAGACTGGCCCATCTGCTCACTTCCAGACTTTGTGGTGAACGAAGGAATCTGCTACACAGACCGAGTAGGGAGGGTCCAAATCCAGCTGTTGAGATATTTCCACAATATTTATAATGCAGCGACACAGAAATATAGTTAGAAAGTTGAGTTAGCAAATAATCATCACTTTGGAAGATGAGGAGTTAAAGTCTGACTGAGGTGTTTTTACACAATCTGTTGATTTTAGTCTCTAATGTGTGTTTCTGCAGTATTCAAGCAGTTTGCTGTGTGTGTGTTTGGCTCATCAGTAACTGGTCACCTCTCTCACCAAGGCTCTTTTTTACAGTTGTGTTTATGTTTTTGTTTTCTTTCTGAACTTCCAGTTTTATCTTGGCCACTGCTTTCCTGACTCGTTTCAGGCGACAACACTTCTTGAAAGTCCCAGCAGGAATCCGCTCGTGCCGCGCCCTAATCTTATTCATCTTTGTCTCGTTTCCTTTGTCTATTTATACATCACCTTGTGAAGCTTCAGTTGTTTTCATCTCTTGTGTCAAACACATTTCAGGCTTTGTTATATTTATAGTATTTGCGTCTGTTTCCGGTACTTCCGTTTGAATTGGACATTTTGGTACCGACAATGGATGATACTAAAGCACAGCAAAATTTTTACCACTATGATGTTGATTCTTGCATTTTAGTTGTCTATTCCTGTGCCTTTCAACATATAGTTTGGTTGGGCAGTCAGCACTTTTCATTGCACTATATATGCATGTGTTGTTTAACTGGCTTAAGTTTTGGATGTTGAGCTAAAGTGTTCTTGGAAAGACTGTTCTATTATTTATCGTCCTTTCTGTAAAGGGAGACACATTTATATTCCTGTTTGAACAAGATTTGTTTAGTTCAGCTGAAGGTTGGAGCCTGACATGTTCAGAACAAGGAAATGTATTAGTTCGTGTCATCTTACACATTGCATAATCTCTGTTCCCACAAGTTGAACTGACGTTCTAATATCAAGAACTTGTTTCAAGCTGAATTTGAACTAAAAACAACCCAACTGTGCATGTCCTTGTTTGCTTTTAACTATATCAGTTGTGGATGATAAAATCTAAAAAACAGATCACGCATTGAAACTTAAGAAATACCTGGCAAGACTTGATAAAAATGATTGCACAATTTTTTGGCAGAAGACACCTTGATGCTGAGAAACATAAGTTAAAATGTAGGAGATAAGAAGCAGATGCCTGACAAATAAACCCATAACATTTTGCTCACTAATCAGATGCACTTGAAGATTCTCATCTTTCCTGGATCGTAGTTCTGCATGTTCAAAATGCACCACAAATATTTTCTGTTTCTGCAGCTCACCGCCAGGGGTGTTACAGCTATAACTGGATATCTACACACATTTTACAAGAACATACAATATTTTGTTTTTATAACATTGAATGAAACAATATGCAGGCTTTATGTTTTACAGCTGCATCCTTTGTGCACAAATGAGCACCACAGGAAATCCTCCCTCCCAACACATTTGATAAATGGTTACATTCCTGCTGCTATTTGAAGTTTTTCCATTTCTTTAAAATAGTCTCTTGATGTTTTTATACCAAAGTATAAATAATCCTACTCAGTTGCCCATTTCTTCAAAGCAGAGTATTCTTTTTTAATAATGGTACAGTATTATTTTCCCATGCTGAAATTTTGTCCTTTAGTGTTAAGTCTGTTCTCTGTTTTTATTTATTCTTTTATCTGTGTGTGAATCTACTTGCTTCGATGTACCTGTCTCTTTGCTGCTGGTGCAGAAAATGAAGGTGATTGCTATTCTTTTCAAATAATTTTTAGTTTTTAAAAGTGAGATTGATGTGATTTTTTTAAAAACTGGGACATGAGGATTAAAAGCGCCTGCAGATGAACGGCCCGCTCTATCGCTACGCCATGCTCTGCTGATGTCTGCTGATTTATTTTAAGGTACTTTCAGGCACACAGCTTCCTTGTTTGACATTGTGGGAAAATAGAAAGAAGCTCACCAAGATATCAGGAAGAGAAATCTCGACCTTCACATCCTTGGTAAAAATTTGCAGATGCCTGAAGGTTCTACGTTCATCTGTGCAAACTGAAACGCCGTACAGGGAGGAAGATGAAATTACTCCGAAAGCAATGCAAAAAGCCATATAATGGCTGACAGATTTCTGTAAATCTGTCAGCCTTCTGGTTTGATTTGATGTCAGACATTAGGAAAAAAGGTTAGGAGTCTTTTTTATGATGTTTGTAAAAGTCTGAATAGAGGACTGACATGAGAGGAAATGTTGATGTTCTTTTCGCTGAAATATTTGACAGTTAAAACCCAAATATAATCCTGGTGGTAATAATACCCAAGATAGCAACAAAAGCACTGCTGTCCATCAGAAGAAAGAGCAAGATCATGTCAGGCCACAGAAACAACAGACAGAATGTTTCAGCGAACATCGAGGAACCTGAGAGCAACAAGAGGATTCAGGACGCAGTGAAGTTCTGTTCATACACGACAAGAACAAAAACACAACAAATAAAAAACAAAAAAGGTTTAGCTGAGTACATAAACTGCTGGCTGCAAAAATATTCTGAAACACTGAAGCAAAGTATTTCAGCTTCCAAATCTACATTTTATTTTAAATACCTCAAAAAACCATTATGAAAAAAATAAAAACTCTGCAAATAAGAAAATGGGTTTTCCATGAATAAATTGGAGTTACTGTCCCGCCCACCCCCCAAAAAAATCAGCAAATACACTGTTTTGTGACGCAGAAAATGTCATTGGTTACAGATGTAGAATTTGTCATTTGTTCCTCCTTGACAGTGATGACCACAGAGAAAATGGATCCTCCAGAAGGACCACAGAATAACTTTTCTTAATTATTTTCCGTGACATGATGGAGGAGACGAGGGAGACAAGGAAGACGGAGCGTCTCAGCCTGTTGGATGTTTTTTTTTGGGCATATTTATACACTAACAACAACAGCAACCATGTTGCTGAAAAAACAAAAGGACACTCTTCCTCCCAAGAGGTCTGTTGGAGTGGAAATGTGTTCTCTCCATCACTTTATATCCTCATTGGTCATGTCTGTTGTCTTTGCTGCAAATCAAAAGGGCAGAAAAAATGTAGAAAGTATGGAGATGATTCCTCTTGGAATATTTAGACGACAACCTGTTGAATTAATGTCTCGTTTGTCTAAAATCTTTCGTTTCACTATGAAAGGTCTATTCTACATGAAGCATCATGTTGTCTAAAATAAAATCTGTGTAATCAAAAAGTTAGAAAACTTTAAAGAATGTGAAAAGATGTAATTAACTTCACGCTGTTATATTCTGTCCAATGAAGGTGACATCTGGTGTGCTGAGCACCAATATTACCACAATGTATTGACCTTTGTTAATTAACAGTTTACGGTTTAAATTACTGTTCATTTAGAAGCATGCATGTAGTAGAAAGGGTAGATTTCTACTACATGCACTATTACTAAACTGTTGTGACGCACTGTAAAACAAAAATGCATCATAAACACTTCATCTTACTTGTTGCCAGCATTTTTTTTATTAGAAAGCAAAACTCTTATTCCCTTATTTATATTATTGGAGTAAATAACATAAAATTATGACAAATTTGAATTTGTAAAAATGAACAACAGTAAGCCAGTTACAACACATGTACAGTTTACAGTCAACTTAATAAAAAAGTGGAGCAATTTTAAATAGACACCTTAAAAGCAAATAAATATACAAGTGACATGAATTATGATCCATCTAACTATCCATCTATTTGTCTATAACTTATAAATGTGCTAAAGGTTACAGAAAACATTTATTTAATCAGAACATAAATTAAAAAATAGGATATATTTGTGTGTGTGTGTCCGTCCTTTGTAAAGCTAAGACATTACAGGTGACTTTGCATTTAAACACACACGCACGCACACACGCACGCACGCACGCACGCACGCACATACACACACACACACACACACACACAGGATAAAGCTATGTATTGCCACCAGGGCCAAGATAAAAATAAGCATTTGAGTAAAAAGTGCCTTTGCTTTCAAAGCATGTTTGACAAATCCAGATTCCTTTCTGGACGTCAATAATTGTACCCTGCTTACATAAATACAAGTTCAACAAAACAAAAAAAATCGGTTTGCATATTCATTCCTACTCATAAGCGTTCATATTTCTGTCCAAAATGAGGTTTTATTTACAGTACACTCCGCACCACCAGTCCTTAGGAGTCAACTTTGCCGTACGTCCCGTCTGGAGGTCGGTAGCATTTGGGGAAGGCCATCAGCTGCAACATGTTGAAGGCGTATTTCCTGCATTTAATATTCTTTTGAACGTTCTCAATCCGACATCCTTCTCTGATGATGAAGTGATAAAGAAAAGTGGAAATGAGAGAAAGAAAAGAAAAAGGACAAAAAAAGAAAACATGAATGATGGTTTTAATTGTGACACAGAGCTTGATAGGAATAATGTTAAATGAAATTCACATATTTCTGTTGTTTTTTAGGATAGCATTTATTATTTGTTTATTTTTATTATATATTATTTATTGGTTATTTTATTTTGAGAGTTTTATGTGGTTCAATAATTCAAACGTTTTTCTAGATAAAAATGTGAAAATTGTGACTTTAGAAATCATTTAATTCATAAACGTTCATCTGTGTAAGTCGATCACAGCATTTGAGGAGCCTGACAGACATTTTAAGGCCTAAGTGTAATTAAGTTGCTTATCGGTTGCTACAGTTAATAATCCAGTTCATGATTTATTAGCATTCACTATAGACATGATGCATGTACGAGACGGAGATTCATGCTCAGTCAATGTAATTTCTTCATGTTTAAGCCCCCAAAAAATCTGTGATTTGCTAATGCATCACGATCAGGGCTAACAGGGGGTGAGACGGAAATAAAAACACTTTCCAAGAAAATTGGATGAGCATGAACAGTATTTTCATAGAAGCACTATTTGTGTTTCATGTTTCTACAAAGACAAACCACATTAAATACCAGCAATTCTGAACATTTCTATTCAAAAATGTCTTTTAGGAGTTGGACTTGTTCTCCAGAAGTCCAGTAAACTCTTCAGCATTCCAAGACATCTGGGATAATTTTACACATTTGTGGGAAAGGTTTGAGGAAACATCCATAAAGGCATAAACTGGGATCTTGGTGAAACCCGAACTTGTCCTGAACTCATCCAAGAAAGAGACACGTCCTTCCTGTCCAGCTTGGTGTGTGTCACCAGGCACATCTGGAAGAGTGATCACTCACTTCTAAACCTTATGGATGAAATGCATGTGTTCAAAGGCAGAAAGGCAAATCATTTAGCCAGTTTAGTGTCTTCACCATCATCATCTTCACAATATGAATGAAAATAACTCGTACTAATGAGTCCTAGATTTGGGTGTAGCATTTTCCTGGTTTTGGATTTATGTGTAGTTTGAAATAATTCATTGTTTTTAGATTTATTTTGACTTATTAATAATGATAAATATTTTGTTTATTATACTTTGAAAGCACTTTGAACTGCCTTGTTTCTGAAAAAGTGCTTGGTTTTGTCAACTGTATTTTTTCACCTGGTTGTCCATCAGTTCTTAGTAAATACTCTCCATATTTGGTAATGCTATTCTTAATTAACTTGCTGTTGTCACGGTTTTTTTGAAGCATTTCCAAACCATCAGATGATACAGAAGGATAAATCACTTTCAATTAAAACCCAATCAAACATAAGCTACAAAGATCAAAGGTCGAAAACTTCACTCGTCGTTGAGTCTTTGTGTTGGTGAGGTCTGTTCATAAGTCACATTTCAATTTCCTGGTTCATCTGGACCTTTTCCTTAAATCATTATAACATGTGTTAAAGTCTGTTCAAAAATTTTTGTTTATTATTCATCCTTCCTGACGTTTCATGAATACTCGCATCATTTACAGTTATATACTTTTTAGGATTTATTATTTAACATTTTCTGAGGGTGAAAACCCCCAAACTATTATTTTATTTATATTGTATTTAAAAATGTCATGTAGAAAAGTACAAATACTATTGTAATGATCAATGTAAAAATCTTTATTGGCACACCAACGATCAAATGGTTTGATGGTGTTTTGATGATTTATCTTTAATTCTACAATTAACTTAAAACTATAACAAGAAAGTCTTGCTGTTGTTGATGGTTTCAAAGTTTACCTCCTAGTCTAATGTTTTCAGGAGGAAAGAATAAGCTTGAGAAGAGTAGAAAAACTGTAACCTAATCAGTGATGACAAAAAGAAAGAAGAAAAACAACCACAATGAATGTTTTGCTTTTTTTTTAGTTCTAACTAAATGAAAACACAACAGAAGTTGTCAAGTTAAAATTGGCTTCCCCAGACCAATTAGCTGTTCACAACGGTTCTTTAACAAAACAACAAAATCTCAGGAAACAAGCAGCAGAAAACAGAGAGACAGGCGCTCACAGAAATTATGTTATTAGGATTTTATTGATATTTTGCAAGCAGAAAAACAAGACTTAAAATGAGCCACACAACCAGTAAGTGGGAGCTAACAAGCAGCAGGGCAATGGGATAAAAGTGTCGCGACGCTGGTTTGTTTTCCGTCAATGCACCGGCCTCGGGGTCCTCCCAGTGCCCAACGTCTCCCTGGGAAAGCCGACTGCAGAGACGCCCATCAGAGGGAAACAGAACGGACAGACAGATCAAAACGCTGCAGGCCTGGTGCTGTCTGAGTGGACGTTCTGGCCGTAATTGATTGGTGGAGAGGCTTGGCGCGCGGGCGGCAGAACACCCACTCAGACAGACAGCTATTAGCCCAGACTGATGGTTAGAAAAGCAGCAAGAGAGAAAGAAGCATTCTGTGACAAATGGAGCGGATGTGAGAGTCATGCTCAACAAGACCTGACACTGCACAAACACAAAGTCTCACCAAGTATTTCTAGTCTAGTTTCTAGTGCAAATATCTTGGCACACTTGAAATAAGACAAACTAATTCACAAGTAACTTTCCAGCAAGATATAGGATATTGTTCTAAGTAATAATTCCTTAATATTCATGAAAAAGTCTATTTCTACAGGCAGATTAATTCACTAATGGAAAATATGTCTTGTTATGAGTGCAATCATCTGCCACTGAAACTCAATTTTCAGGATTATTGACTTAAAATAATCCTTTTAAGTCAAGATTATTTACGCTTAAATAATCTTGTGTTGCTGAAAAGTTACTTGTAGGTTAATCTTGTCATATTTTTAATGTTCTAAGATATTTGCACTAGAAATACTTGGCAAGATTTTGTCCATTGCAGTTGATGTGATGATTGGACTGGGGGACGGATGAAGGAGGCATGCAGATTAAAATGTAGGAAAAAAAATATCAATCCTGAAACTTAAACCTGCTAATAAACTCTTGGACTGTCTGTATAATGAAGACCCATTTCTTTTTTGTTGTTTTTAACAACATACATAAAATAAACATCTACCGTCATTAAATTTTACTGAGCTGCAAAACACTGCGGTTGCTTAAATTCGACTTTGACCCGTAGCATAGAATCTGTTCGTTCACATAAACATTAATTTGTTCCACTGTCAGCAGAGCTTAAATTTTGTTTTTTCTTTTTTGTCACAGAGCAAAACAATTTTCTTTTCAGATAATCAGCACCTCTGAACCAGCGGATTGTTTTCTCAAAGCTTAAGATGAGAAACTACAATTTTTAACAAAATATAAAGACATTATTCATCATGATTCTACCTCCAAAAACCTTGTTTTTGGGATTTTTAACCGAGTCCGATCATCAGACCTCCTGTGCTGTTTCTAACCCCGTCCACATGGCTCTAACATGCTTATCTGCTCTAACTTGTAATAAATCAAATCTGTGACACATGATAGTGTAAGAGTGAGCTAAATCTGTCTATTATTTACATTTTATTACAATGGAACCATAAAGTTCAATCGATTTTTTTCGCAGACTTTCTATCATAAACAAACACAAAGTAGTGAATAATTGTAACGTAAAAGAAAAACTAAGATCAAGTAAAGGTTGCTACCAATAATCAAAGACTCAGAAGCAATTTTCCTAAGTTTTTTCTTGAAAAATATAGATCGATTGGATGTAGATCTTGACTTTAGCTATGCCGCTCTAAGATATGAAGATCCTTTGACGTTTTTAAATCATATCTCTGTATTTTTATGGTTGTTGTCCGGGTGGAGTTGGACCGTTCGTCCTAATTTCAAGTCTTCTCCAACTCTAATAGGTTTCCTTCCAGGAATGTCCTGTATTTAACTCCACCCACCTTCCTATCAATTCAGACCATCTGCTCTAAAGAAAAGCATCTCTACAGAATGATGCTGCCATCATGCTTCATGGCAGGAATGGTGCATTCATGGAGATGTCTAGTGTTCATTTTGTCCACAGTTTAGCTATGATGTATGCCCAAAAATTCAGCTTTGGTCATATTTTACAGGAGAACGTTTTGTCCGCATGGAAACGTTTTCCCACTACCTGGTTTGTAGAAAACTATAAATTAGATTTCACCTAGCGTTCTGTCAAAATGGATTTACTAAGAGCTTCCTGGCTGCTTTTCTGATTCGTGCTGCATGGTGGGTTTGCATTTCGCTGTATTTTCCCCATTATTTAAACAAGTTCTTTCTTAAGTTTCAGATGTTTTTAAAACCTGAACCTGCCTTAAATGTCTCCACAGCTTTCTCTTTAAATGCAATGAAAACCCTAAAAAATGGCTTGATTTTTTACTGAGATGACTGAAGGGAAGTTGGGTTAATTTTATCGTGCTGTCTACAATTGTACACAGCACACTTTTCAGATTTCTGTTTGCACAAAATGTGACAAATATGTAGCTTTACTCTCACTTCACAATAATCCAAACAGTTTGTTGATCTATCATAAAATTCTTGCCTTGATGTGACGAAAAGTGAAAAAGTTCAAGGGGTGTGAAGCTCTTTAAAAGACAGTGTGTATTGTTTCATAACAGATGTAATTAACTGTTATGACGCAAAGCTTTATATTCTGTGCTTTAAAACTGAGCTGTTATAAGAAACACACCTCCAGCTCACAGTGAACCAGTCCTTCCAGTCTGATCGCAGATGAACATTCAACCCTCTCTTCTTTCCAAAACCAATTAAACTAATCGTGGCAGATTAGTTTAATACCTGCTTAGGTATCTGCACGGGCTGCAAACTAAAGCTTTAAAGTTCATTTTCTTTCCTTATGAAAAGCTCTTGTTTAACGTCACTGGGTGCGATATTATCTCTGCTAACTAACATAGTGCATAAATAATTTACAGACGTGATAATGATTAGGCATGCCAGCCTCACATGGTTTGTCTGCACACAAACCAGATGACAGGGCAGGTAGGGTGCTATTGATTTATTTAGTTGTCACCTGTGAAAAGCAAATATGTGAGTTGTGTTAGTCATTTGCCTCTCGAGGTGAATGGTTGAAGATCCACCTGGAAAGATGAGTCAGGCAGCTCAGTAGGAGTTAGAAAGTTGCAACCTGAGGCCACCTGCTTTGGATAATATTGGTTTTTCAAGCTGAATGTGGATTATCTTGTTTCATTCCTTTCTCTTACAACCTGTCTTGTATGTGCTAAAAGTTCACTTTCCTGTCTTCCTTATCGTTCATAGTTTTTTTAGACACCCAATTATATAATGATTTTGTTTTTTATTGATCATTTCTAAGACACAGAGTGCATTTGTGTACTTTATCTGTCCTGATAAAGAGCTGCTTAGCGTGATGCTGCAGAGAGCCAATCACTGACAGTTCATGTTCCAGTGAGCAGTGAGACTCAAAGTGCTGGTCTGTACAGGGTTCAGTGTTGAGGCTTCAGTTTCTCTCAGAGACAGTATAAAAAAGGTAACTTGTGTCACACCAGCCCAGTTCTGTCTGCTTCGATTGAACTTAAATTTGTTTCCCTAAAAGTTTGGTTTGTATGAGGAGGTGTGAATGTTCATACGACAAAAAAAAGCAACAACAAAAAACCACTGATCCACCTAGAAACCTTAGTTTCAGTTCAGTTGAATGAACTCCTGCATGATTTGAATGCATATGTGAACACCAAGCAGACCAGAGACCGGTCCGAGAGCAGGGCATTCTGGGTAAATACAACCAAAACAAGCACACAAATCTAGAGTTAGAGATTTACCGAACTGTCAGGTGAGAAAAGCTGGTTGAGGAGTTCAAGGATAATTCTTGGGCTTTGGCGTGGAACCAGACATCTACATATCTAAAACTGAGACTACATGTTGTAGTCATGTAATCACCTGCCTTCATCTACATAGAGACCATCTACAGTGGGTGAAACTGGGAAGCCCTTGACATCTCCATGCTTGTTTTTCAGTGTAATATCTTTCCATGTCTACACTGACGGCACCCAACTGAGAAGTGACCTTAATCCCAAGGACAAGTCCAGACTAAGTAACATTATTGTGTGCCTTGTTTTAAACCAGTAATACAATAAACATTGAGCAAATAATTAGTTCAAGCAGTTAAAAACCTTAATTGATTCAAACATAATTAGTACTTTGGAGTGCTTGGGAAGCTCACTTATCTTAATTATCCATCTGCTCTGTTGTAATCCACCGTGACCTGAAAGTTAAAACTCACATTTCCTACCCAAACATCATTGAACACAAGCAAATTAAAATTCAAAGGGCAAGCTTCTTGCTTGTTAGTTCAGCCACTTGTTTATTGTCTGATCGCTGCAAAATGTGCTCAATAAAATACAAAATCCCCGCTTTGGTAATCACATTACGTTTCATTATCCGAGGGCAAGAAAACGGTCAGTGTTAAACGGCTGTTTTCAGAATCACATGTTGTAGGCAAGGATTTCAGAAGCAATTTGACCTCCATGTTTAACTTTGCACCTGTTGTTTAGAATGATTGCTGTTTGGTCTTCACACAGAGGATCTGAATCTGGTTTGAAAGTCCTAAAATCACGCAGACATAGGCAGAAGAGGATTGAGCCACTTTGGAGTTAATTTGTTGGAGAAAATCATCAGCAGGAATTTTCTAAAAATAAGCTGCAGATGTTCTCTCCAGAAAATGGAGAGGAGAGTTCATTTAGTTCCTTCTGTTCTAATCCTGCATGGCATAACTGTCATATCCAAACTACTAAACCTTTGTCCCCACATTCCTAACAGTTCAGAATGTAAATCCTTTTCCATAAGATATAATGCACACTTGCAGAAACCATTTCACTTCATGAGAAACAAATAATAAAATACAGACAATTTAGAGGAATGACATTCTGATGTTTAAATTCCCTAGACTGGGAGTCTATAGCTATTGGCAAGTGTGGACGAACTGAGGGAATTATTAATCCATGTAAGGGAAATATGTTGTTCCAGATCTTTGCAAAGTTTTAACATTTGCAAATTATGGAGGTAAATTGGAGACATAAAGTTTGTTTCACATTTGTTTTTTAGTTTCAAATCTTTTTGTATTTTGAACAAACTGCAGCTCCATAGAAAATGATCAACACTTAATCATTTTGAGCACAGACTGATAATCCCAAAACTGAAGAAAAATGGCTACAGAGCCAGATTCCTCCTGGAATATGTGTGTAGTAACAATTCCTTCCTCCAATCGCTACGATCCTAAAACGTTTCTCAACTGAGCAGTAATAGCAACAGGGACTGGACTTTGTGGACTGTGCTAAATGGAAAACAAGTTTAATGATTAAATGGATCATCGATGATCAGTAATTATCTCTGTAGCATTTAATAGAAAATATATATATAATGCAGTTTTCTTTCATGACTGTGGACACAAAATTATATTTTAAGCTCTCCTTTTGAGTGTTTTTATTTAACAATTTTAGGCTGAGATCAGCATTTAAAAAACAACAACAACAAAAAAAAAACATTTTATTAACGCGGTGCACTGAGTGTGTTTATGGGTCTAAGCCAAACTTTTGGTCTCCACTGATTGGATTTTGTGCTTTTTTTTAACTATTGAAATCTCTTGTTGTGCCCCCAGCCTGCAATCAGCAGGGTTGACCAAGTGTATATCACAGGTACTCGATATGTGCACTTCCCAGATTTTTCTCAAACGGATTTACAGTTGAATCTTATCAGATCTGAGCAGACGTGGATGTTTACCCTGCTGGCGTACACATATGGGAAACGGAGCAGAGTCCCTGCAGGAGCCAACAGGAAGAAACACGGCTGACTGTGAAGGATGTGTGAAGGATAGAGCAGATGGGGGGGGGGGACATCTGATGGTGATAAGTTCATAGGAGAAGGTGCAGAGGAGATGTTTTTGATGGATGGTGTGGGTGTGCAGGGCATTACTTTAAATACAGATGCTGGCAATAACATTTCTACTTCAGGTTTATTGGATTATTCCTCCAACCGGCTAACCTTCAACTCAAACAGGTGATTTTTTTGACTTTTAGAAACACCATGGAAGTAATTTAAAAAGTTGCAGATCTTCTCCTGTATCTTTTAGCTGTTACAGTACTGTGCAAAAGTTTTAAATCATTACTTATTTTCAAATATTTTGGTCTTTTAGATGATTTTGATTAATTGGTTAATAATCTTTGACTACTTTTTCCTCTGACTACTTTGCAGTACTAGTACTTCTTAAGTATTTGCAATGTACATGTTTCTCCTGTTTTTGCTTATCTGCCACATTTAAATGTTTCAGGCACTAAAATGATTATTACTATCATAAAAATACAACCTGAGGAAATACAAAACTACGCTAGTTTCAAGACATATGCCATAGCACACACACCTTCATGTTTGTCAAAACAATTTAAAAAAACAGTTCAATGTGGTATGGTGATATGGAAAGCTCCTTTTTATGCCTGAAATGTTTCATGTAAGATAGTTTTGTTTTATTTCAAGTGTACTAAGATATTTTCACTAGAAACTAGACCAAACATTTTGTTTTTGCAAAGAAATTGATGAAGACCAAAGTTTACAAGAAAGTCGGATTCACAAAACCGAAAGCTCTAGAGCTTTTCCACAGAACTGTAAGTGAAATAATAATGGTTTGTTGCCAGGAGTGTTTAGGAAACTCGAAACTGAATCTTGTTTTCTTGGAGTTCTGAAGGTTGGAGAGATTTTATCCAGTTTCACAAATCCAACCCAATCTGCATGAGCGCCGTCCTGTACCCTGCTTGGAACCAGCTCTGGTAATACCTTGCACTCGGTAATGTGGGAAAACCTTTAGTGACTTGAAACTCACCTCCGCATGCAGTCCAGAGCTCGGACGAAGAAGTCCTTGCTGAGCTGGTGTTCGTCCCTCAGCAGGGCGCACTGCTCTAATGTGACAGACATGGATGTTCGGTCTTTGGCACTTTTACAGCTGGTAAATCGGATTCCGTTCAGCCTTCGGCAAATCTGGCAGAAAGTGGAGGCGAAATTACATGGATCATTAAAGCAGAAGATTTGACTTTTTTGTTTAAAAGTAATTTCTCTTGGGTGGATACGCCCTGTTCCTGTGTTCGTTTTGTCGATGTTGCAACAAGTCCAGAGTAACAGGTAGAGTGGTAGAATGACAAGTCTGCTCTTCATTTCTTACATCAATGCCATTGTGTGAACTTGTTTCTCCCAGCACTGACTAAAACATTTCTATTACGTCAAGCCTTAGGTTTGAAGCCATTTAAATAAATTACCAGACAGCGCTGGGTTGATTGATGTTTAGTTTGTTCCCTGCCTGTCGGCTGATTGAAAGAAAGGCACTGCACTTTTGTCTTGGATAAAAAAATCTAATTTACATTTTTGGACATATTGTGGTCATTAAAAATAAAGACACAGACAGTGGAAATTAAAGAACCGCCACCCATAACTCATAAAGCCTTTGTCCACAAGCTTAACTCCAACCGGTTCTGGTGCAATCTGCTCCAGACAGATTTGTGATTTTATGGAGTTCCATATTTTCAGCATCACAATGAAGAAGCAAGAAACTTTTCCAGAACTACATAGTAGTTTGTCGTGATGTTTACATTATTCTTTGTTTGGTTTTTCTCTTCAATAAAGTCCATGTGTGGATACTGCTGTACATCTTACATAAATACAAATGTTGCACATGTTTAAAAAAAGTGCTGCAATATAGGTAGATTTGTAGTTGGGGAGAAACTGCAGTTTTTTGGCCGATCTTTGATTACTGATCTTTAAAAAGCTTGACCTGCCGATTCTGATTTTGGTCAATACCAATTTTCTTGTCTGAAATATCGCATATTATAGCAAGAAATTGAATTTGAAACAGTGGAGGGACTATTGTTAACTGTAAATGACCTGGTGGGTCCACAAAAGAGACCAGTGGTTGATTTTTAGACCTTTGCCAAGGAAGACAAGATTGGCTTCACATGTAAGCATCGGCCGATCATCGATCTCTAGAACAGCTGGCTGATAAATTGGTAATTTGTATGTTTGGGTCACAAGTTCATTTCTATTGAAAATAATATTATAATATTATTTCAGTCAACCATAATAACAACCAGATAAAGGATGAATGTTGCATCATTTTAGGCCTTAATCTTAATGGTTGGTACTTTTGGTGGTTTGTTTTTAAGGCTGAAAGAAATATCTACGGTTATTTTATTCCATCAAAATCAGCATCCAAAGTTCTCAATCGCCAAGAGTTGATTCAATAATCGACTTTTGCTGATGCTTTTGGCTATGAAGAAGCATCTTTATTAAGGCTTCACTGTTTTAAAACTAAAGCTGGTAAAGCAGCTAACTGCAGGCGAGGAGCCTGAGCAGATAGTCCAAATAAAAGTACCAGTTATACCAGTTTGAAATAGTTGTTACTCTATAAAAAGCAGGACTTCAAACAGAAAATACAAAATGCTAGCAGGTACAACACACTTTGACCAAAATATATTTGCCATTTATTTCTATCAAGAGGCAGTTTTTAGGGATCACTTAGAATTCATGTGAAAAATTATCCGACTTTGTGAAAATGCATTTGAGTTATTTTAAGTGTTTTCTCAATAAAATTAACTTGGGCAGCAACAGTTTCGTCCCGAAGGTTACTTATGATATCTTTCCATCATGGCATTGTGTTGTGAAATAATGGAAAACTAACTCACAATAAACTTTTTATCAAGATATAGCAGCTTATTTTACTAAATAATCCTTAAAGTTGAGTTTTACTGTCAGATTATTTTAGTTATAATAAAATGTCATGTTCTAAGCGCAATAATCTGCAATTGGAAATCAGCATTAATGAATTACTGACTGAAAAGAAGCTCCTATATCTCTCAAATAAGTTTTTTGCAAGCTAATTAGGTCTTATTTCAAGTGTGTGACGACATTTGACCGAGAAATTAGATCAAAAATACTTGGTGAGATTTTGTAGTTTTGCAGCAAATCTTATACAAACAACAGTACAATAAAAAAAATAGATTGCACGCTGTTTTTAATTCCAGCTTACTTTTAAAATATGCTCCAACACTTAGAAGACTGAGCCTGATCAGTCTGAGAGAACAGAGCCAACTGATGATCAACAAGTCAAAGGAGGATTGTGGAAACAGTGACAGCGTGAGATTGATGTGAGATTAAGAGGCAACACTGCCAATGAAGCGTTCACTGCAGGCTGCAGCCTGCGCTTCTCACCCACTTCTCACACAACGTAACTTCAATGACTTTAATATACGTATCATAAGGACACACTTAACAGTCCACTAGCACAAGCTAAATATCGCTATATAATGAAGGTCAGAATCCACATCGTGTTCTCTTCCAAAGTCAATCAATCTTGCTCAGATTGTTGATTGTCTTTGGCTCAGTGCCCTTTTAAGAAGGAATAAATCAAGTGTAGCATAAGATGTGTATGTTTGCCAAAAAAAGCCTCTGAAATCTGTCATACGGTTGAGAGGACACTTCCTTGACAGCAAGAGAAAGTTTGAATAATAAGCAAACACACCGTTCCAGCAATCCACAGTATCTCAACGTTCTTCCTCTTCTTTGTGACTACATTCTGGCCCAGCGTTTCAAGTAATTCCTTTATGTCAGTCTGTGTCTGAAAACACGGTAGACCTGTTTGCAGTGAAACAAAACACAGTGTTAGAGTTAAGAAAGCTCAGAATGAGAGGATGCATGCTGATAAACAGATAAATCCAATTCAGGTCATTTGTCTTTGTCTCTTTAGAGAAGTTTCTGATTCATTAAACAGTTACAGAGACTTTTGACCAAATTGTTGCTCGTTGAAGTGTAGAAACTTTGTAAGTAAAGTAAAGAAGGGATTAATAACACTGCAAAAACATGAAGTCTGAGTATTTCTGCCTTGTTTCTGGTGCAAATATCTTAGTATGCTTGAAATAAGACAAAATTAACTTATAAGTAGCTTTTTATCAAAATACAGGAGCTTGTCTTAAGTCAATGACTCCTTTGTATTGACAAAAAACGAACTAGTTTTATTGGTAGATTATTTCACTAAAAAGACATTTTCCTGTATTATAAGTGAAATAATCAGCCAGTGGAACTAGCACTTCTTAATCAATATTAGCAAAACATCTTTATCTGGATGGAAAGTTACTTGTAAGTTAGTTTTGTCATATTTCAAATGTGTTAAGATATTTGGTAAAATTGTGTGTTTTGCATTGTGTAAAGCACTCTAAACATGTATGCCTGCTGTTTCCAGCTTCTTGTAATCAATACTAATTCCATGCAGTCAGAAAAGGTTTGAGAAGATCTTTGACACAAGCTGTTTCACTGCTGGATATTGACTTGAAACATGCAGTGAGTCTGAATATCTTTAAATTTGTGGTGCAGTTGCTTTTAGCTTGAAAAAATGTGGCAAAACATACGAGTTGCTCCTTACATTCCAGTGGCACCTTTTCTCTTAACGTCTTATAATAGGCTTCTAAAATCTCAAAGTTCTTCTGGTTTATTCTTTCCTGTAGAGAGATATCTCCGAACCTGCGGAAACCAGAAGGAAAAGATATTGACAGAATTCAAGTTCTTTGACTTAAAAAGATACTTCAGATTTTTTTTAAAACATGGTTGTGTGGAGACACTAAGAGGAGACAATATCTATCTTGTGGCAGATGAAAATGTCTTTTCTATTAAATTATTATTTCCCGGACGATGGAGCTACACGCCAGGTAAAGTGGGGATTTTTCCAACCTTAAAATTAATTCAGTCTGGAAATGTTCACAGCAGAAATGCAACAATTTTTACAAAGTTAAATGTGACTTGTCATCAACTTATTTTGAAAATGTGATTGATTTTTAATGTCATTGTCGGAACAAGCTTAGTCACATGTGATTTTAATTACATTACTTATTTAATGGCGACACCACCATGGAACTTCAAAAACATTCAAGGCTTTAAATATTAGTATTTTAAACCGGTAAGATATGAACTGAGGAAAACAAAGACACCAATCTACATAACGATATCTAGGTAGTTTTATTTTTCAAAGGGAATTGAAGATAAATTATCAGCAGCTATGAATATAAATGTAAGATTCTCTGAATAAAAACACGACAGACACTATGAATCACTTGTAAAACGTTTTTATATAGACTGCACAAGTTTGCATATTGATTAAAGGAGTGTGTGTTTGTGTGTGTGTGTGTGTGTGTGTGTGTGTGTACGTGTGTGTGTGTTTTAGGGAGAAAGAGTAGTAGTTGCAGTACCTCTCAGCTATAGTTTGTTGCTCGTTGATGCCAACGTTAAACAGAACGGGGAAAACTCGCAGAGACCTGCCCTCCTTGATCTCATCTGGCAAGGTCTGAAAAATCACTTGTGGTAATGGCACTTCGACAGTGAAGTGGTCTCTAAGTACAACGAGAGAAAGAGAGAGAGAAAAGATCATTTAGGAGAAATTCAATATGTTCTGCAGTTCTGATGGACATAATACCTTCAGGAAGTTGGGAATGTGACTCCTGAGTAAGGTGTGGGCAAACGCTGGAGTCGAAACGGATGGTGTTTGTGCGTCAGAGACAGACATGAGTGTAATTGTGTGAAATTGCCTTCAGCACTCTGAATATTCAGCCAAGCAGCTGCGGCACAGTAAAGCCACTTCTCTCCTATGTGGATTAAAGTTCACATAGTTCAGAAAGGAAAATGACTTCCTCATTACTGCCAATAGCCGACTGCTGAGTGACTTTCTTCCTTTTCCAGCTCTCATGCAGATTTTCTTGCCCTAAACATCTTAGCTGATAAGCTGCTGTAAGTCGCTACGATGCAGTTTTTCTTCTTTTTCCATTTTTACTAATTATTCTTTGAGCTCTCTAGTTATATCAACAAAATACCCTCTTATATGGAAAATACCCCGCAGGGGTTTTACCTTTAAACACATTTTTACATGAAATATTGTTCCTGTCAGAATCCTGCGTTGCTTTGGCTCTTTCTTATTTTTTTAGTTTCTCTTCATTTATTTGCCTTTTGCTTAGTTCAGTCTGCTCTCAGTTTAGTTATGTTATGTTTATCATTAATTCCTTATGACTAGTTATTATTTGTTACAGTTATATTTGTCTTTCTGGTATTAAACCTCCTCTCTTTTACTTGCTCCTTGCTGGTTCTTTCTGTTATTCTCCGGTTCTTCTCTGCGTTCCCTGTCTCCCTTTAGATTTTGTGCTTAGTTGGATTTCTTTGATTAAATGTTTATTTCATTATAGAATCTGCTGGCATGTTGGTCCAACTTTATGCCCATGCCATGACGGGTTCAATATTTCTGTTTCTTTCCACATTTACCACTTTGCCTTCCTTTCTCCCAGGAAGACAAAAACAGGGGGTGAGAAGGATGAATTTATCCGCATCAACCCAAAACAGGCTCAGGGAAGTAGACATAACATAGTTTAGAACAATTGCTGACTGCTGTTGTTGTTTGTGAGCATAAAGTTTATCAGATAAGAAAGTGCTTATGCATTCACCGTCAGTAGAAAATGCTTGCTGACATCTACATACCATATACTATAATTAGCTCCGAATGTTTTTTACTTCCACTGCTCAGAGAAGTGAAGGAAAGAACAATTGATTATCTGTTTTTTAAAATTTCATACGCGGCGCACAGCATTCGCTTGAAGAGAGGGTTTAGTGCTAAACAACTTGTTCTTGTGAGGGGAAAAAACACAATATTTATGTGAAGAAAAGTGAAACTTGCATCACTGCATAGCTTAATGTATAACAGGTTATTTGAGGAGAAATTTGTTCATACATCCCTGTACCTACCTAAGTAACAATGCTGGCCAGAAAAGGAGCAGAGATTTGAAACTAACTGAATGCTACAGTGACATTATTGTTTTCAAATTACAGTTTTGTTGCAAAGTAACAATCAGACTTGGAAAAAGTTGCATTCAGCTTTTCTTCTCAATTTGTTCTCCTCACTGGATAAATAACCAAGTATGTAGTATTTTTATTTTTTGCCTTGAATCATAACTTCATTACCTTTCAGCAACTTTTGGCTTCTTTTGCTTAACTCTTTTTCTTCACATATTTCTCCATGTAAGTCACGAAAACAAAGAAAAGTATTTTGAGCTACAAGTCTGAATATAACTGAGATTAATAACTGCAAAAATTATGCTATGTGTCCTTTAAAGCTGCAGAATGTAATTTTTATAAAACATTTTTTGTTTGTTTGTTGTAACTGTCTCTGTCTCTATCTGCACTCTGTCACTGTCACACCATCTTGTTGTGACAGAAAATCTGAAAATTTACGCTCCTCTCCCTTCCCAGTTCTCACAATGCTAAATAGAAACAACCAATCAGAGCCAGGAGGCGTGTCTTAGCGCAGTCAATCACAATCTCATGTGGCGCTGCTCATCCTCCAGCCCTCTCACCTGGTTGGTCTCTGCTAGCACAACCTGTTGTGAATGCTCATGCTAGTTAGCATGGCCACCTATCAATGGTTTTCCTGTAGCGATAAGTTGTTTCTCTGTCAGTAAGTTGATGGACAGCGCTAAGACCCGCCTCCTGGCTCTGAGTTTTTTGTTTTTGAATGGGGCAGAGGAGATTCATGCTTTCCCAGATTTTCTGTCTCATAACAAACTGTGACAGTTTTAACAAATATATAAAAACATTCTTTATAAAAGACTCATAATGCAGCTTTAATATGCATTATGTTAAATATAATGCATCTTAAAGCATTAAAAAAATGCTTCAAGATGCATTTTAACAGACATAAAGAGGTGGCCAGACACAGAATGCAAGCAAAACATCACAGTGGATCAGATTTAACATATGTCTTTAAGAAAAATTTAAAAAGGAAAGTGAACTGGTTCTTGCTGCTACTGTAACTTTAAGTCATAGCATTCAAATAATAAATTCTCAGCATGACCTAATCAGTTCTTGCGAAGCGATTATCGATATATTTCTAGGAAAAACTGAGTCATGCCATTGTCACACAAAGTGGCTGAACCTGGCAGGGTGTGAGGAATCTCACCGTCGGCCACAAACTGAAGGCTGCAGGTCAGTGAGGTCATCCGCTTTGGCCTCTGTGATCTTGAACGTGACTCTCTGCAGGTCGGAGATGCCGATCTCCATGTCCTCCAGCATCCCGATCTCTTCACCTGAAACAAAACATCGCCCAGGATTTCATCTCTGCTCCGAACGTCGTTCTGACTTTCAGTAAAATTAAAGAAAAAATCAGCAATGAAGAATCGAGTTTGAAAAAAAATCTGTATTTGTTTCACTTTCTAAACTAACCTTCCGATAGCTGTTTATCCTTCACCAGGAAGACATTGTGTGAGACGTAGTGAAGCCTTTGTGATAAGAACATTATGCCAAAACCAACAACCCACTGAGTCATCACCTTGTTTTCGAACACGGAGTAACTTGCCATAGCATTCATCACTCATCAACGTATTGAACAGTTTTCAAATTAAGTGTTCTTCTTCAAAGCGTAGAACAATGAACAATGTGAAAGAAGTGGAGGTTTCGTGTTGCTGTGATTGACTCACTGTAAGTGCTCAGCAGGCTCTCGAACTGAGCCACCAGGCCGACGAGGTGGAGCTGCCTCAGGAAGTCTTTGTCCTGCAAGCCTGCATACAGCCTCATCACAAAGCCGCATGCCAGCGCTGCCAGCTGTTGACGTGCAACAAAAACAACTTCAAACGCTGCTTTCATGCTTCCCAGCTCAGACAATACGAAAGGCATTGCTGATTTGAACAGATAGAACTGGGCTGCAGACCAACTGCTCAGATATTTATTAAATTATGACTAAATATTCATGAAACAAAGGTAACATCGGTGTTCAGGTGGGGGCAATAAATAGCATTTTACTGTGAATTTAGTGGATGAGTGCAGCCAGCCACCTACTGCCTGACTGAAGACTATGTCTCTCCTCTGCTGCAGGTGGAGGCCTTGAGGTATGCTGCACACTGCCTCCTGCAGGAGGACGAAGGTCATTGCTCTCTTTGCTTTCTCCACCACCTCCAAAACGCACTCCTTTAGTCTGGTCACCAGAGGACCCAGCTGCTCCCGCCAGTCACCTGCAGAGAAATAAAAGAACAAAAACACTGAGAAGAGGGTCAGAAAGAGTTTAAAACTGAATCTATTAGGGCGTGAAGTTTTAAATGTGTGCTGAATGTTGGGCAAATTTGGAAAACTTCTTCAAGTTTAAAGGGAATATTCATATCAATGCTGCAGTCATGCTGAGTTCAATCTGATCAGTTTCTTTACACGTATGTATGGAAGTGTTTCACTGCCAGAACACGGAAGCAAATTTAGGAGCACTATCATGTCCTAACAAGAATGTTTCTCCTTACAACTTGAAAAGCTTGATAAAAGATAAAAGTTTGTTATTGTAACGAGACAAGCTTTACATTTTGTTAAAAGAAAGGTTTTCATTGTAAGGAGATAAAAATACGCTCCTCTATGACTATGAATAAAGGGGCTTGGTTTGATTCCTCCTCTTCCTGTTTTCTATACACAACATATAAAAACCCCAAGCAACAGGTTTTACTGTAATCACCTTTTTATTTAAAAGAGAAGATATTTTGGTTTTATTAATCTTTAAATCTTATAAATTTTCTTGTTTTAATGAGAAATGTTCTCATTTTAATGATATAAAAATAAGATCCTCTTATTACGACTTATAAAAAAAGAGGCTTGCTACGACTCCTTTTCATGCTGTTTCCTCTGGACAATATCTAAAATTTCAAAGAGGTGTTGGTGTTTTTTTAGATGAGTTTTCCATCTCATTGTGCAAAGAAAGTTTCTCATTTTACTGACATAAAAATTCCTTCCTCTCACAGATGACAACTTGTTAAAAAGGCCTTCAGAGCCTCACTATGAATCTTCTTCCTCTCACCCTGTTTCCTCTGCTGCTGCATTATGGTTATGATCTTTTGTATTTAAAAGAAAATATATTTTGCTTTTAATGACATTCATTAAAAACAAACCATAATTTTTTTATTTTCATTTAAATCGAGAAAGTTTTCTCCTTCATACGAGATTCTGATTCCTGAATATACAATATTTTCAAACTCTGGCAGTTGAACGCTTCTGTACATATAAGAGGTTTCTGCACCTCTGCAAGCAGTTCCAGCCTTTCTGTGAAAGAAGTATCTACAATCAGTGCTTTCATACATTTATTAACACAATGAAATGATGGAGATGAGGAAGTGCAGAGTTCGTAGAGGTTGCCTTGATGGGTTTTGTAAGATTCAGTACTGAATTGTGAGGCCCTGAAATTACCTTCCTATGCCTGCATATGAAATCTTTCACTGCCATTTAATTAAGTCAGGGGTGTCACACTAGTTTGAATATAGTGTGACAACTGTAAAAGGTGATACCAGTTTAACCTGTCAGAGTGCTGGTTTCACCAGTTGAAATGAAATGCTAAATTTTTAAGACATACAAAGTCCTATTTGCAGTGCTAATATTAGGATTTACATTAAAATTAGGTTAATATTTTGTCTGTTTAATAAAATAAAATACCAATGTGAACATTAACATTTTGACACAAGATAACATTTACATGAACCATTCCACGCTGCTGTCTTGAGAAGGGCGTGTTTCCTGATCCTGGTCCTTAAGGGCACACACCTGCATGTTTTTACTCAGACTTCTGTGGAAATCGATGACTAATTAGTAAAGTATCTTTGTGGTAATTAGTTCCTTTTGAGTATGCATAGTGCACATGTGAAGGAATCAATCAATCAATCAAACAAGTTTATTTGTATAGCACATTTCAGCATCAAAGCAGTTCAAAGTGATTCACATGAAAAAATAAAATCATAAAACAGTCACCAATTGTACAACCAGTGATGTCGTCATCAAAATAATTGACACAAATCAAACATGTTGGCCAATGTTCCATTTAAAGCAACTCTAAGCAGCCTTGATTTAAACACACTCAGTGTTTCAGCTGTTTTGGAGTTTTCTGGAAGTTTGTTCCAGACATGTATCTTTGTTTGGGAGTAAGAATAGAGATTCATCTCAGGTTATAATTCACTAATCTGAAATTTTATAACGATTTGCATTCCATTATTAAAGAGAGCTGGGTGTAAACTTCAAACATCAACTGAATATGAAATATTTTACATTCCAAAATCCTTCCAATCTGAATTCAAGTACAATGCATTTTATTTCTAATGCATTGTACTAATGAGCGGTCTATTGAGCAGCCAGCAGGGGGCAGTGTTGGATAGACATCGCCCAGCATGCTGTGGTCTGTTCAGCCTTCACATTCTCAAAAGTTCATGGACAAACAGATGCAGTAGGACTCCCAGCTTGTGAATCACATCAGATTGGGCTGAGCCTCGTCTGAGAAATCTCGCCTCATCTCAAACACCGCCATCAGACCGAGGGAAGAAAAGGAAGAGGAGGACAGATGAGTCCCACTCACCTGCTCTCAAACACATCTGTATAAACATCCGCTTCTTCCCACAGCAATGTCTCATCAAAAGTCCAGACATTACCCATGACAACCAGAAGTTTAAGCTGTTCTCATGATTCTACCCACGTTTAGAGTTCGGCAAGCAGAGGACCGCCTGCTCTGAGGCAGCTTTGCATCTTACTAAAGGAGCTCTGGTGGCTGGCGGAGAACCAGGTGCTCTGGCCTTGTTCCTTGCACACACGCGCCAAACAATAAAAATGCACCAGCATTTCTATAGAAGCAGTGGAGCGACCTAAATGGAGAGATTCTCCAAAAGTGATGGTGCTGCCCTGGGTGCCAGCCGGCAGCTGCATCAGGGTGTCTCCCTCTGAACAGAAGCTTCAGAAAGGATTTGATACGACCAGGAGGAAGACCGAGCAGCTGGCTGTCAGCAGGAAACTTGTCTGCATAAACTGAGCAGGGTTGACGCGCATTTTTATGTCAAAATTTAGCAGACTTCATTTAAATTTCTGCAATCCTTTCTCATTTATCAACATTATTAATACTAGTTCACAATAAATCTATAGCAGATATTCCTATTTCTGGTCAGATTTTGAATAAAGATGGTTTGATGACAGAGAGACAGACAGATAAATGATGTCCAAACTCTATGTTTTGGTTCTTTTGCTGGATCAGAAAACTTGAATTGACTGATTGGGTCTCATGTGAAAACATGTAATTCAACAGCTAAAGTAGCTAAAGTGTTTCCAGACGAAGCAGGGCTAATAAAAAGCTCACGCAGGGGTGATATGGGTAGCAATCATTACTAAAGAGCGAGTGAATAGTTTGAACTCTATCTGCACTCTGACAAATTGTTGGAGAAATTCAAGGCCAGTGCTCCTCTCTCCAGGAAGTGAAAACCAAAAATAGCCGACTTCAAGAGCAAAGTGTGTAATAATTCGTCAGAGAAACCCAGAGCAACTTCTGAGCAACTGGAAGCTTAGAAGTTCAGTTCTATCGCAGACACATTGAAATACAGCAGTGTGCATGGCAGGACTGCAAGAAGGAAGCAACAGCTCTTCAGAAGAAGTATTATAAGGTTCCCATGAAACAAACAAAGAGCTGCTGAAAAAAACACAACTCTCTGGATGAATGAGACTAAAATAAAACTTTGTAGATTAAAGACAAATTGCTATGTTGGGAGCAGGAGAATACGGTTTCATCTCTGGGAGTCTTTGCTGCTGGATTTGAAGTTAAGCCACACTGTCACCACTCTGAGGTACCAGGGAAGTTGGGCTCAAACGTCGTCCCAAGGTGGAACAGGAAAATGTTCCACATGTCAAGGGATGCAGGATGTGGATGTTTGTGAGTGTGCATAGGATGAATTGTGTAAAAGTGCTTTAACTGGATCTATAGAATCACAGGTTTAGTATTTGACTAACAAAAGAAGCACAGCATAAGGAGTGGCAGGGGAATCCAGCAAGTGCTGCTGAATTAAAACCACAGGCTCTCGCTGGGTTTGTGAACATTGTTACTAGAAAGTGCAGCTTTGCATTTATAACACAATTGTCTTATAAAAAGACCTAAGTATTTGTTTTTTTATTATTAAAAAAGGTCAGAATACATCATTTTGACACTCAAAAACCTACAAGTCTTGAAAGTATGAACCAAAAATGACAGTTAACATTAAGTAGTTTTTATATCAGATTCAAACCCTAACGCTTCTCATAGCACAACTGCCTTATGAAAAATGTCTGTTATTTTATTTAAAAAGGCCAGATTTGATTATTCAGATATCCACAACCCCAAATCTTGAAAGTATAAATCAAAAAACAGTGTCAGCTTTACATAGTTTGTCATGTAATATTCAAACTAGTGCTGCCATTTAGTTAAAAAATCTAATCAGATTAATCACACTCCAGCACTGTGATCAATCACAATTAATCACCGTGCTTAACTATGTAAGACAGAAATGTAAAAAGAAAAAGAAAAATTTAAGAAAATGTTTCATTGTCTCTAAATTTTCTATTTACAAAGGTTTGGAAGAAGTCAATTTATTTAGAAGTTTAGAAATGTTAACCATAAACTGGTTGTGATTAACGCATCAACGTTGCCAGCTGACATTCATACTCAATACTTCGAGATAAAAACAACCCGTGGACTCAAACCCTCTCAAACCTACAACATCTGCAACTTTTTATGAATAATAACTTCCTTGTCTGGAGTGTAAATTTGGTAAATGCGTGTTGCAGCAGATTAAGACAACACTCTTATTTTCCTAAAAGATCCTGCAGGAAATGTGGAAAAGCTTCATGCAAGTGAACAGGAAGACACATTTCTCCTCGACCACCTACAGCAGTTGCCACAGTTCAGTTTGTTACCTGAGGATTATGAAATTGTTGGAATCTGGGAGCAACAACTCCCATCTGAAGGGCAAGGGGGAAAACAAAGTTCATGCCATGGCAAGAACAGATTGCTCAGACATGGAGTCACAAACTGCAAGCAAGATATTTTCCATTTAAGAAAAAATAAACCTCGATTTTTCTATTCATATTTACTGTTTGTACAAAAGGTTTGATGTCCACAAATCATATAATTTGAGTCAATAACTGCTCAACATAATCTTCCTTTTGTTTACCCATTATCTGCAACACCAGCTCTTTTTTTCCTAGTGCCAAATTAATGAGAGAGTGATTGCACATCATTATTTTAATGTGTGGGATTATCTTGAAGTCACGCTTTAGGGCCACACAACACACTGCTGTGAAAAAAAACTAACTGCAGACAGACTCAGAGTGAATTGTCAGAACAATTTGACAGCTATTCCTGTCAAAACCTCACATGTAAAACCAGGACTGCTTGTGTGTTTCTGTAGAAAACTGAGCCTTGCACAATCTTCACAAAAATGTTATGACATTTGATGAGAAAAATAGGTATTAGAGTGAAAATGCTGGTCAGAACTGGAGCAAGAATTACAACTTCAACTTGAATTCTGCCAGAATTTGAATTCCTGAAATTACAATTTTTGTTCTTTTGCTTCGATGCCCCAGGTAATATTTCAAATGTATCATCATCGATCACTTTCAACTTCCTTCTTCACTGCTCTGAGATAACTTTTTTGTTTTATATCTTTTCTCAACTTTTGCACATGAACAAAATTACAAGATACAAATCAGAAGCTAAACTGAAAGGAAAAACCTGCATTCAGTTTAACCTTGTAAGCCTTGCAAGTAAAAAGGCGTGAACAGCGTTTCACCTGGGTTGTGTGAGGTGATGACATCAGCAAGCTGTTGCTCCGGCGCTGGCTCTGGCTTGCTGTTGTCACCTTCGAGGAGTTTGTCCACCATGGCGATCACACAGTTGAGACATTTGGCGACGTTGGCCCAAACCCTGTCCTGAGGAAGAGATCACACAACCACCAATCAGGCCAGATCAGCTTCACTGATTCTGCTTGTCTGAGGCAGCAAGATGGAAAGAAAGCCAAAGAAATAAAAACAAAGAAAACGAAACACAGCAAAAACTCTTTGTGTTCGACAGATCAAAAGGAAAAGGCTGTATGGATTACGCTCAAAGCATTTCCTTTGTTTCTTCCATTTCTCCTCGTTATTCTGGGTTTCAGTGATGAACTGAGGCTCATTTTTCCTTGTGTGTGTGGGTGTGTTTAGGTGTGTTTGTGTTTGCATATGGGACCACTGTACTTTTTTAAATGTCTTGGTTAAAAAAAAGATTAAACTGGTTTAAATCCCAATAAATAATTGAATCAGTGTCTCTGCTGTCAGTGTGACAGCAGCTGTTTTCACAAACACAGTGGCCTGCACGCTCACTTGAGAAGCTGGCTTAGTTTCAATGATAAGATTACTGCACAATAATCCTGCACACTCAGTTTGTCACAGTGAAATATTCTAATTCCTGGGAAATTAATTTAAATTTTCCCGGTAATTGACATGATTGGCCAAATCAATGACGTCTGTTTAAAACAGTAAAAGCTCCTTCGTTTGCTGAGAGTTTTAGGATTATGCTTATAATTCGTTTTTTGATTATTATGCAAGAAGTAAACTGAAATTTACATAACATTTATGGTACAATATCTGTGTGGCAGTCTTACCAAAACAATGTTTTATTAGATTATGTAGTTGTGCAAAGGTATTAAACCACCCGCAGATAAGATTCTTACAAAAAGACAACTTTAACTTTTTAAAGTAGTCTGGATATATAAAGATTATTAAAACTTTTCCCTAAAACTGATTTTTATTGTCCTATCCTTGTTCAAAACATTGTCTGCTAAATGTTTGGAAGCAAAATGTAGACTTCTAAGCCAATTTCTTATTTCTTTCTATGAGAAAGATTCTGCTAATTTTTCTCATAGAAAGTGTTTGATAGAGCTACATCTGGCACTATTAGTGTCCTAGTACTTCTGGTCCAGTTATTCTTTGTGTAGATTTTTCCCACGAATCAAGCTATTGACAGATCTATTGCTGATTTCATTGCTCCTCAACCCCAAAGTCAGTTGGAGGTGACGGGGCTTCTCCCACTCTCACCCCTTGCTCAGGAGCCAGGCTTGATGCCAAGCCAGTGATCCGCCCTGCAGGGCAGATATTTTTTATTTACCCTTTTGGGTTAAATTTGACTCTCTGTGTTATAACTTGTGCTGAATCTGACTGCGTTTTGAACTTGACTCCATTTAGTTAGATGTGTGCTCGAATATTATTTTACCAATCAAATCAAAGCAGTTTATATCTGCATGTTGCTAAAATTGATCAATCAGTCGCCTTTTAAGTTATTTTCAGCAGCTGTGAGGCACAGTGGTGAAAGTTACTCAATGGATTGTTGCTAGGTAACCAGAGAGTGAGTGAGTGAGTTGCTAGGTAACCAAAGAGTGAGTGAGTTGCTAGGTAACCAAAGAGTGAGTGAGT